CGTCGCCGGTTCCATCCGTACCGCCTATGTCTACGAGAGTATGCTTGGTACCTACGATGCGACCTGGATGGGCTGGCCGATTTTGTTGTCCGCTGCTGTCGAGATCAACTTGGGATTGGTATGTTTTCAAAAGTCTACTTCTACAATTGCATAAACTAACGAAGTCTAGATCTGTGCCTCTGCACCAGCATTGCGACCTCTCATGGCATCCTTCCTCCCCCGTCTGCTCCAGACCACCCGCCAGTACGCCTATTCGTCCAGCAAGCGAGCCTCGAAACTCTGGTCTCCCGGTCCATCGAAGTTCTCGAATGCGCTCGCCTCGAACGCCAACGGCGGCGACTTGGAAGCCCAAGACACTCGTCTCGAGGTACTTCGAACCGTCGAGATGGAATCGTGGTCCGAAGCAATGAACAAAACCATCAACGTCCCCAACACGTACAACGTCGCCTCGAGTCACACTCGCGCACCATCGGCCTTCGAAAAGGTCGACCTGAAGACCGGCGAGATCTGTCATACTTCAGTACCCAGCAGCTCATCGAGGCCATCGTCGGGGCCAACATCTCCACCCCCGAGTCAGCCACGATCACCACTCGAGAAAGAATTTTAAAGAAAAAGTTATATACATTTTTGTGACGATCGCTTTTCAGCCTCTCATTCCTTTTTTTTTTTTTTTTTTTTTTTTTTTTTTTTTTTTTTTTTTTTTCGTTGAAGTCATCCAGAGCCTCCTGGACACGCTTGCTCATGGTCTTCTCACCCTCACGAACCCACACGCGGGGGTCGAAGTACTTCTTGTTGGGCTTGTTTTTTTTTTTTTTTTTTTTTTTTTTTTTTTACTTTTCTGACCGACATTCCTTCACTGTTTAACTTTCTTGCTCTGATACCATTACTTTTGCTATATATTGGGATTTAACTTGAACGACTTGGAAACGAAGGCTTGTACATAGTACATTTACGACGAAATTATTTAGCTACATGCATACAATCCATAATTTGGAATATCCATCTTCATCGAGCACAGACCGTACTCCGTAGTTCTGCACAACAATCCCTTAGCTACTCCTATTATACACAACATACTCTGTACATGCATACATAGTCCACAGACTACAGCACTAGAGTGGCAACGGCACGAACTCCTCACACTTAACCGCAAAAGGTAAATCCAGAACCGGGCTGGGCTGAAGCTTATTAACCGGTATAGTTTGGCGAGTTGGCGCCGGTCCGGTTAGTCGGGGGGTTTTAGGTTGGCTCGGCTGAATTCTGGGACTGAATAGGGCTGCAAGGGCATGATTCATGTGGTGAATGCTGCAGTGAATATTTGTACCCTGAATTCACTCTGCGGTACGTATAGGAGTGCGGGAAGGTTTACTTCTTCATCTTCTCTTATTCCGTACTCCTATCATCATTGATCATCAGCGCATGGGCTACGGCGATAGTCTTTTGATGATGATGGATCTACGTCCTGCCCTCGTTGATGTGCATATTAGACTCGATTTGTGCCAAATAGGCGACGGGCTTCTACTCGATTAGCCTGACCTTGTTACTTCAGGTCCATTATGAGCAACTCAAATAGGACAAGAAAGATTGTTGACGAATGTCTGCCAAGCTTTACGAGAACGAGCATTTATGTCTACAGACAGACAAAAGCATCGGCAACGACCCAAGCTTGTCTATTAGGCAAATGCTGCAAGTTCTTTCTGAAAAAGCCTCAATGGCTTGAATGCTCAAACGTCGAAGATGATCTTTACCTCGTCACTAGAATCACAGTTGACGAATGAGCGAATGGCCAAAGAGATAGAAGAGCTGTCGACAGCCAACGAAACATAGTAGCCCACGGGGGATCGTGGGCTGTTTTCTTGCTCGGTCAAACAAGAACGAGAGATGCAATAGAAGGGTGCTCTCAACGTTTTTTACGGGGTATTTTTCATTCGACTTTTTACAAGACGCTTTCGATTGTCCCAGACAAGCTTGCCAGAGTACACTGGATGCAAATCAAGTTGATATGTGATTTGATTTGCCGGGTTTGCAAGCGAATAGGCGACAATACAAGCATATAACTGCCAGATGTTTAATCGGCAATGCGTTACAGTTATGGATATTCTGAACGGTGTCAAACTTCTGGATATCGGGAACCACCAACAAAGAAAGGGCCAATACAGTCAACGAGCTGGAGGCCTTGAGGGTCAAGAAGATGGAGAAGATGGAGGAGCATGGTGTCTCAATTCTGCACGAGTTACTTCAGTGGAATAGATCATGTACTCGGTTATTGTTTTGTCATGATCTCAAGTTCAATCTCTCGGTCCTCTGCCCACTCATCAAGGGTCGAGGCCCTGACGATAAAGAAGTCGATGGTGCTGAGATTTTGTTCGCGTAGACTGTGCAATTCTTCGCGATCCGTGGTTCGATCTGTTTCGAGTTGTCGGATTCTCTCACGGTCTTGGTCCCTATTGGATCGGAGTTGTTTCAACTGGTCCATGAAGGACATCCCAAGTTGGTTGTGGTCGACAGTTGTCAGTGTTTCCTGGGACATTTCCCGACTCAGTTGACTGGGTTTGCAGTTGCCAAGAGTTCCTTAAATTCAGATTTGTCGTACTGCAGGGGTTTTCAACGGAGTACTAGTACCTCACATTCAACCGCAAAGAGTAAATCCTAATTGTGGATGTGCTTTTACGCACTTGATTTGAATTTGGGGATGGGGCACGTAAGGATGCGGAATTCGCTGAGAAACTGGAGAAACTTAATGAGATGTGGGGTAATTGGATTATTAGAGAGGCTTAAGGCAGTCTTTGAGCAGATGTTGATCACCAGTGTATAGCTTATAGCTTGGAATCAATGATATCGTACTTGAAACTGCATTGTAATATAAATCAGACAAACGCAAACATTAAACCATGGTATCCATCAAGTAAAAACAAGCATAAAGCAATTAAATCGAGTCAAATCAGATCAATCAATCAACAAACAGTCCTCAGATGAGACCTCTGGGATCGTTTTCAGGTATAAGTGCGTGTGCTTTTGATGAAATCCATCCATCCATGATATCAACGTAGCAGCATATTCATGACGTGAAAAGAAACGTTAAGCGTTAGAAAAATGAGAGAGTTCGAATAAGATGTTAAGAGAAATAAAAGGGCGATTAGGTCGGCTTATCACATCCAATCCGACCAAGCAGTGCCTTCCGATCACTTTGCTCCAGCGGAAGACGTCCACGACCACGGGGTCGCATATTTGAGGAACTGTTGGCCCGTCGCCAGTCTGCGCTGGCACTATCAGCGGCAATGGTCGTCCCAGCGGAGCTGTCCTTGCTGGAAACCTGGACTTGCCCAGGAGACTCAACTCCCTCATCCTCCTCGTCGGAACGAGTGTCCTCCGCATTCCCGGTGCGCAGCACCCCAACGGCAACACGGACGATCATCCCAAACCAGATCAGAGAAAGCACTTGCAGCGACATCAGGTACGACAGGAAGATCCACTTGATAGTCCGGTTCATGCAGATAGGTCCGTCGATATCCAGGAACGGGGAGAAGAGGTATTGCCATTGGTCGGGGTATCCGTCTGTCGTGAGCATTTCGGCGGTGGTGCCGGAGTAGCAGCCGTAGTTCATCTCGGCGGGGACGTCTCTGTAGATGGACCAGCAGAGTTGGAGGTAGAGGACGTGGCGGGCGATGAGCCATGTGATCATGAAGACTCCGAAGGCGATGTTGCAGCTCGTTTCGTATTTGAGGTATTTGAGGATTTTGGCGGTCTTCTCAATAGTTAGCATCAATACTCTTGGGATCCAAATAAACCCAACTTACCGGCAACAAAAGGTCCACGATATCCATCAAACACAACACCACATTCGAGACATTGTAGAAGCCGTAGATGTACGCAGAGCCCAACAGACTGCTGGTGATAATGTGATGGGTCAACATCTGGTAGTGGTCCTTCCGTCTCTCCTCAATATTGATCACCAGAATCTGCTGCACCCAAAACGACAACTGCACGAGCAGATACCACTTCAAAGTCCCAGATACACCCCTCGCAGGCCATTCCCTCCAGATTGTGGTATAATCGAGCCAGTAGTCCGAGTTCGACCAGATATACTATTTCCGTCAGTACCAGCCACACCCATAAATCAACACCTGTATAGAAGTCTCACCATCCCAAAAGTCCAAAAGAACCCATAGTACACCCACAACCACCCCTGCTCCGCGAACCGCACCGAGGCCTTGCGCTTCAATCCTGTTTTCCGAGCGAGCGGTTGAAACACCCATTCAATAGTAATGGCCCGGATGGCCGTGAACGCAATCGCGGAACCAAGCACAAAGTATAAATCATCCCATCCCTGCACGTAGACACCCTGCGACGGCTGGTAATACGATAACTGGAAGAACGGCGTGGTATAAGGTCTCAGCGAAGGATAGAGGTTATGGCAGGCCAGGAGCATGGCAAGGATCGTCAGTGAAATCCCTGCGGACAAAACGCTGTCAGTTTTCCGTCCCATTTCTTTTTTTTTTTTTTTTTTTTTCCCTCCTTTTCTATTCCCACTCCAATACAGGAAAAGCAGTGTAACATACCTATCTGGTTGGCCACCATCCATTCCCGAAAGGTGGTCTCTTTAGCAACAGGCCGGTGATGGTGATGGTGGCCGCCGGTGGAAGTCGAGACGCAGGCATTGAGGTCCGCAACCGAGGGCGACGGCGACGGCGACACGTCTTTTGCCATGACAGACATAGCACGGAGGAGAAACGAATCGAATGCTGCAGAGTAGGAATCACAATAGTTCGGGGAGCGGAAGAGAAGAAACAACAACGGGATTGTGGACGAGGGATCGGTGGTACATTCAACCCGCGGTTCCGCCGATGCGGGTACTTGGTTGAGCTGGCTTATGTCCCAACAAGAATGTACAGAGTAGTTGTAGAGAATACAATTATTCTCACACAAACGAAACAGACAGACAAAAATAATAACAATGGCACGAAACAAGGAGACGGCACAGAGATTGAGGGGAATGCGGTGGCCCACACCCCCGTCTGTCGCAGCCAAACTACTTCACCGCCGAAATTCAAGGCCAATGGCTGCTTCACGAGTTCCGTTGGGCTCTCGAACTGGTTGATCTGGACTTAACCGAAGGCTACTACTGCACGAAAGACGCTTTATGTACAGACATAACTCTATGCGGGAACAAATATATCAAGTCTATTATATTACCACTGCACAGGCCAACTAACTACTACGGGGTACTCACTACTCATCCAAAGCAACAGTCACCCCATTCACATACTCATTCGCATTGACCCCCAATTTGGCCAAATCCACGTTTCCCTGTCCAGCCATTGCCTGTGACATTGCCCGTACCACTTCCTCTTCTTCCCAGATACTCGCATCTCCATTCCCGACCACGCCTGCGCCCGCGTTCTCTCCGTTCATCGACACCACCGCCCGCCAATACGCATCGTCGTGGTCCTTCAGCGCCTTGTCCCGCACCACCGCATTCCGCGTCACGCTCAACGCATGTAACTTCGAACTGGCCTGCGCGATCGTGGGCAGCGACATGTCCACGAGTTGTCCGACTTGCTCCGCCTGCGAGGGGGGTTCGAAGAAGAGGCGGTTCGTGGCGGAGAGGTAGATCAGCCCCGCGCAGACGCTGTCGAAGATGGTGAGTAGCAGAGGGCGCAGTAGGCCGATTTGGTGATAGAGATCGGAGGGGGCGGCCATTCCGGCCCGGACGATAGCCGGTGCGTATTGGATGGGATCGTAGGTCGTGACGATGTAGATATCGAGTGCGGCGAGGGCGAGTCCGGCCAGGGTGAACTTGTTGCGCCAGCCGGCCGCATCGCGACCGGCGAACGGGGCGGATGTCACCAGTCCCACGATGAGCATATTGAGCAGATGCGGCAGTAGCGTATTAAACGGGAGGTAGTAGAGGATGTAAGTTCCGACATGGTCAAACGAGCAGAAGTGACACTGCGACAACGGTTCCGGTCCAAACCGCAGGTATATCTTCCTGGCCACGATAGTCGTAAACTTTGCCTTCAGGGCCTCATCCGCGGGTGTCAGGATATTCTCCGGTCGGAATCTAGCCAATCGAGTAAAGATAATATCGGTCGGGGTGGTAATGCGCGAGGCAGTTTGCGTGAAGATGTTCGGACTCGGAGCTCGGGGGTTGAACGGCAGACTGAGGAGTAGGAAGAAGGTAATCGCAAAAAATAGGGCGTTCAACGCTCGATTAGCAGAAGCCGGAAGATGACGAGGAGACTGTCGAGAAGCTATTGTGCCTCGTAAGTCGCGGTAGAGGTTGATTGCTCGGGGGATGAGGATCGGGGCGAAGAAGATGAGGAGGGACTTGATACTGTTTTCACATCAGCAAAACACTTTTCCACGTAGAAGAGAAAGAATACATACGTCCCCCATGATATCCCAAGCTCAGTCATTGTGTGCGATCTCCTTTTGCATTTCCAGGGACGTTGAAAGAAGATGAATCCAGCTGGCACCAATTGATCTTATCGCGCCAAGAGCGGAGTGCCCTGCGGAGTACGAGTATGGAGCAAGCCAGTTAAAATGCTAACAGAATGTTGATTATATATATATATATATATATATTTTTTTTTTTTTTATCTCTAGGTCCTCTCAATTACATAGCAGCCACATAATAACTATGTGGTTTTATGTAAGAAAGAATGAACACGAGCAAACAACCCAGATATAATAAGCGCTATGGTCTATAACAAAAACAATTAAGAACATTAAGAACAAACTTGGCATGTGGTCCTGCCATCCTGCCAAAGAAAGAAAATAAAAAGAGGTATACATGCCGTCAATCATAACGCCCGTACAAACCAGTTCAAGGTATCAATCCTATTTTATCCTACCCAATCCGTAACCACTCAAATATATCCTCCCTTCAGAGCCGGATGATGTGCCAGATCCGGAGGCGCAATGCCGGACTCATCTCTAGAGTATTTCGACGATGCTGCATCATTCGGAGGGGGGCTCGAAATTTTCTCGATTTTCAAAGGAAACCGGGTTGAGTTTCGGTCAGTTGGCGATTTCCTTCCGGCTTGAGGGCTGTATATCGGTAAGGTATCCTCGCGTTTCATGCTGAGTCTGAATGTTCTGTGACTACCGGTTCGCGGAATCTCTCCTTTCTGGCCTGCAACCGCTCCATAGATTCGAATTTGGCGTGCGGTGACGCCTTTCTCACCATCTGCGAAAACGAAGCTCTGCGGACATAGTTAGTATTGCTCGTCTAGAGAGAATAAACAGAACTTACCGAAACAAGGTTAATCGCGCTCATGACCAAGGCCAGAATCCCTGCGGAAAGAACGATCTGCCAAAATGTCATACCAAGATGGTCCTGACCCATATCTTTCCGGTTCAGATTGCCCAACACTCCGGCACCAAGCATGAACATCGCTATCCCCAAGGTGATGAATCCAGAATTATGTCCGAGTAATGGCCAATCCCGATCGAAGTAGCTGCGTAACCAGGGGAGTTCGGAAATGAGAAGGAATACTATTCGTCGTTAGCAGTGCTCCAGGTCATAGAACAAGCTCTACTTACTGCTCACACCAGCTGTCACGGCATGCGTGACGGCCTCGAAGAAGAAAAAGCCGCTCGTCAGCGAAATCTTCACCAGCATCACCGCGCTGGCAGCAATGATGTCCAAAAAAGTGATGATGTTGATAACTCGAATGCCATTGAGAATGACATATCCTGGGCCAGCCAGGCGTGCTTTCCATGAAGCCTTCATGATCGATAAAGCGCAAATGGGACTAATCAACCTCGACAGGAGAGATAAATGCAAGAAACGATATCCGGATATGAAAATATGTAGAGGGAAAAAATCCAAAATGTCTTGCGTCGAGTCAGCTCTTGCTTGATATTAGAGGGGAGGCTGTGTCATTGGTATAAAAAGAACGCCTCGGGCCAATTTGATAGAAAAAAAAAAAAAAAAAAAAAAAAAAACAAAAGGCCCCCAACAATGGGGCTATCAAGAAAAAAACAAGTCATAATCATTCAGCCCGAGTCTTTATTATTGACGCCCGCTTTGTGTTGGGCGAAAGCAGATAGGCGCCGAGTGAATCGACCCATTGTCGGACAGGGACAATAATGGGATGCACAATAGGAATCTGAAACAGGTCCCAATGGCTATTGAACATACAAGGCGGCTCTTTCAGGCCCTGATGAATAAATTGAATGAAACTCTTTGTCCGGATGGTTCCCTGGGTCGGCGTCTATGGGCCCTATGGCCTTTGCCGCTGGCTATGGAGACGCAGTGAAAATTCCATGGCGCTTAGACCAAGGAAAAAATGCAATGCATTTTACTCCATGCAGAAAATGAAACAATAACGAACATCGTATATGCTTCACATGATGTCAAAGAAGAGAAAGACTGGTTGATATTCATCGTTGTCGACGACAGCCGAAACGGGCAATGTCAGGTGATTGGCCCTTAATCTTTCTTCCTCCCCCCGACGAGCCATGTTTCATTTCTACTTTATCGTACTAGAGACAAACTAGGCGCCGCTCTATCGGAATCCGAGGTCTTTGTCGCTTTGGGAATCCTGCATGTCTGGTACTGAGCAACGTGCGCCATTGTCTGCAGCTCGTGGTCTGACCTACAAGGTACTCTCTCTTCAACTTGGACATAGTTAAACATGGGTGCCCTAAATGGAATGCAATGTCTTTTTGTAAAGCAAATCTTGAAATATAATTAGCGACCGACAAAATGTAACAGAAAGCGCCGTTCGGCTAGGGAATACGGAGCACAGAGCACCAAATGGCCCAATGGCCGTTCTCTGCAGCCTCAGCGCCTAACCCAACATTGTGTGCAGACAGATGCATATCATTCTCCAGTTGGGCAGCATATCTATTGGTTGCCATATCTCCTGCTCGGGGAAGGATTGCTTAAGCGCTCAATCAGCCATGCGTTCGAACCGCCCAGAATGGCGTATTGCAGTGGCTCAATGCATCTCTACCATTAGATGCGATTGCGCAGAAGTACGAGAAAGAGGAAGCATGACCTTAATAATGGCGCTATCCCTGGTAGCACAAGGCCATGAGGCCTTGTTCTCGTATACCCATAGTAACGGTTTAGTATGACCATGGTAAGTGTTCCAATTGACATTTGATGCCATAATCCCAACTCATGTTTGCCAGATCGACAATTATGGACTCAAAACATTCCTACGCACCCTTGTCCCTGGCGAAAAACCGAACATCGAGTAAGAGATCCGGATCCCCGGGTCGCACCAACAGGCTGATTTAGAATCCAGCATTGTGGCCATTCACGGCCTCAACCCGAAAAATAAAGAGAACCACGCGGAACGAACCTGGGAGTCAGGAGGCAAACTGTGGCTGAGAGATTTCCTTCCGAAGAAATTGCCGCAGGCTAGGATTTTCCTTTATGGATATAACTCCAATGTCGCTATCCAATCTTCGGCTGCGGGGATACGGGACCAGGCGCAGAATCTACTCAGCAGGTTATGGCTGGAAAGAAAGGTATTGGCTTGCTATCTCGTGCAATACATGGGGAAGACGGGAGCTGACATGTAAAATAGGGCTGTGAAACTCGTCCAATTTTGTTTATTGCTCATAGTCTGGGCGGGATTGTTGTCAAAGAGGTAGGCATTGTTGTTCCGGACAAAGGATTGGCTGAGCCAGCTGTTTTCTCTTTGACTGCGTACTGATTATATTCTATACAGGCCCTCGTACAAGCCAAACTTGGTGACGTATATTCCTCAATCTTCAAAGCCACCTTTGGCGTTGTCTTCTTTGGAACGCCGCATCGAGGAAGCCCTTTGGCGCGTATCGGGGATGTGTTTGCTAAAGTTGCAAGAGCCGTTTTAAATACCCCAAACAATACGTTTATGAATGCACTGAAGAAGGATGACCTATACGCCACCGAACTTTCGTCCAATTTTCAACAAATACAAGAGCAGTACCAGTACCTGAACTTTTATGAGACTTTACCGCTGAAGAGTTTCAATCTGGTAAGTGAACTTATCCATTATACAGCTGCTACGGACACTCACCCAGATACAGATTGTCGAAAAAAGCTCCGCGGTCCTTGGTCTACCTGATACAAGGGAGAAAAAGATAGCCTTGAACGCCAACCACGAGGAAATCTGTAGATTCGCGAGCGAAGACGACGAGAATTACCGACACGTCTCAGCATTTCTGGTCGACCTTGTCAAAACGAGGATGGATTTCGAAGAGCAGTCCATAGTTGAAAGTTTCAACAGTTTGAGCAGTACTTTGATGGATGGCTTGGTTGAAGAACGTGAACCAAGCTTCTGTAAGTTCAAGCAAGAAAAGATGTCAAGGACCTGCTAACAGTTGAATGACAGTCATGGTACCATACATGCGCAATGAGGTCTTTGTCAACCGCGGGCCTATTATTGAAAAGCTTAAAGACCGAATACTCCCAATCGGGGAATCACACTCGCGAGTGGCTCTTTTCGGTCTTGGTGGTGTCGGGTACGTCTATCTATCACGAGTCTCAGAAGATTAGCAGCTAATGGTATACCTAGTAAATCGCAAGTCGCTATCGAGATTGCGTATCAAATGCACACCGAACTACCCCATGTATCTGTTTTCTGGATCCATGCAAACAGCATTGAACGATTCCGAGAAGGATACCACAACATCATCGATGAATGCAATATTCCAGGTCGAAACGAAGAAAACTGCGACAAAATGGCCCTGTTCAAATATTGGCTTGAAAAGGAACATAAAGAATGGTTGTTGATCATTGATAACGCCGACGAGGCTTCCCTCTTCGCATCGAAAGCCGAACTCTCACGAGAAAAGACAGGGGCAGATCAGTCGATACTTCAATACCTGCCTGAAAGTCCTCATGGTTCGATTCTAATCACAACAAGAAATCGGGCTGCGGGAGTCAAGTTCACCAGAAATCTCTCCCCGGAGCTCGTCGAAGTTAATACTATGACGGAGGACGAGTCGAGCCGCCTCATCAGGTCAGCCCTGTTGGACGATATACCCACCGATGAAGAGATATATGAGATCTCAGATTTACTTGGTCACTTACCGTTGGCACTTGCGCAAGCTACTGCATTCATGCAGGAGAATGTCCTCACCATAAGCGAGTACATTGAGCTCTACAAGGACAGCGACGAGACACAAATGGACTTACTATCGGAGCCCTTCGAGACCCTAGGCAGGGATAGTCAAGTCCCGAATGCTGTTACAACCACGTTGATCATATCGATCAACCAGATCAAGAAGAAGGACCCGAAGGCTATAGATATCCTATCTCTAGTCGCTTTTATCGATCAACACGACATTCCAAAGAGTCTTATACAAGCAAAAGTTAAGCGTCCATTGGATTTCACCAAAGCTCTGGGGACGCTGAAAGCGTTCTCACTTATCACTGCAAATGAACGGGGAAATTTCTCCCTTCATCGGTTGGTCCAGTTAGTTCTGCGAAAGTGGCTGATTATCGAAGATAAGTTCGAGGATCAAGCAATTCAGGCCATGGACGTTCTTGCAGAACTATTTCCAAACGCGAAATTTGAGCATTTAGCCATCTGTAAGGCTCATTTCACCCATGCTTTCTCGGTCCTCAAATTCATCCCCGAATTACACGGCAAACTACTGAGACGACGACTATACCTCCAAGAAGGAATAGCATTCTACCTGTGGACACAAGGATACTACGACGAAGCGGAAAAACTAGATCTACTGATCGTCGAGGAAAACGTTAAAGAATTCGGAATGGAACACCCCGAAACCCTAGAAAGTTTCGAGAGTCTCGCAGCAACGTACGAACAACAAGCGAGATGGTCCGAAGCAGCGAGGTTAGACCAACATGTTCTCGAAGTCCGAGAAAGAACGTTGGGGCCAACGCATGACCTCACGCTCACAATCAAATCGTGCCTGGCAAAGCTGTACAGTAAACAAGGACGGCATGAAGAGGCAGAGACCATGGTGATGGACGTGCTGAAGACCAGACAATCGATACTTGGCGCAGACCACAAATATACAATAACTACCATGGCTAATTTGGGGATAATATGCCGTCGCATGGACAAATTTGAGCAGGCGGAGAAGTTCATGCATCACGCTTGGGACTGGAGGAAAAAGAATCTTGGTGTAGACCATGAGGATACCCTGGATGTCGCAAGTACTCTTGCGGTCATCTATACCGACCAGAATGAACTGCAAAAAGCAGAGCAATTGACTCTTCAAACTTTGGAGGCGCAGGGAAGACAACTGGGCCCAAAACACCCGGCAACACTGATTACCAAAGGCAACTTGGTGAGTATTTACCAAAGCATGGAAGAATGGAAGAAAGCCGAAGAATTGGCACGCAATGTGACCAAGGATCACATCGAGCTGCTGGGACCGAGTCATTATGAAACACTGCTCGAAAAGCAAAAGCTTGTCGATATTTACCTCCAGCAAGGCTTTGTTGAGCAGTCCGATGCATTGGGGGACGAGGTCACGAGGGACAGCATTCGCAGACTTGGGTTAGATCATCCGTTCACCATCGAATGTATGCATGACACCGCTATTACTCGAAAGCGCCAGAGTAGGGATGCGGAAGCAATCCAGTTGATGATCAAGGTGGTTAACTGGAGAGAAAAGAGCTTGGGACCTTATCACGACGATACTTTGATGCCCTTTAAGATGCTATGTGACTGGTGTGGAGCAGACGAAGCGATAGAGATGCTCCTTGACGCTGCTGAGATGCGATGAAATGTATTTGTTAGCCGTATTGTATATATGTTTTAGACACTTCGATATCATCACCTTATCCTGACCCAATACTGACCTCACCATCTACCAAGATCTCTCTGTCCCAAATCTATGGTCACGGTACTGTAGATTCCTCAGGTACTGAATTGACAAAGTGAAGGAACGGACTTGTAGACCCGAAAGAAAAAGCCGGATCGGCACTAGTTAAATTCCGATTCCCCTGGTAAGCGCTGTGCATCGCATCCCTGCTTCCTTGCTCGCCTCTCATTGTTGTTGGACAAAGAACCCTGTACATTGTGCTATATACACATTTCGTTATCGACCAGTGATCATCGAGATACTACAAAATGGCCCGAGGAAACCAGAGAGAAAACGATCGCAAAAAGAGCCAGAAAAAGATGGCTGGAATGGTACGATTCAGTCCCTTTTTCGCCCCTGCAAAAATTTCTTCAAGGCGACTGACAATTGTTTCTCTGCTCTTATAGAAAGGCAAGAACACCATGACTGGATCCGAACAGCAACGCACAAAAGAGGACGTGGCTGCGAAAATGCGCGAAAAGCAAAGACTCGGTTTGTACCCCTGCTACATCACTGTCACCACGAGGCATTGGCTAACGTCTTTGTTTCACTGATTAGCCGACGAGCGCAAGGCTGCTGGTCAGAAATAAGAAACTCCGAATACCCTACCTGTGTGACATCCTTTCGACCCGGATATCTGGAACGCGCCGATCGGATACCTGATTGCTTCGTTGACTGTCTTTGTCTTTTCGCTCTATATGTGCCACTCATTCAATGACCTTATCAGTTGCACCCTGTGGAAACATTGGTCGAGCTTTGTTAATACTGCGTCGGGTGAAGTCTGGGACAATTGCATACGAGGAAAGACTTGGGATCATGTACAAAACGCGGCCGGGATATCATGGATCGGGGGATCTTGTTCATGTCCATTTTTGTTCACCCAGTCATTCTTACTAGCGAGGCGTTTCAACGTTTGCATACGCAAATTAGCTGGCGTTTTCTGCGTTCTTTCGTATCCTTAATCCTGGGTACAGGACTTCTCCACGAAGATACGGCATACGGCTATACCCCTGTTGATACTGAAATAGACTTATATTTAAACAGTAGAGCTGTAGAGGGTATCTCGAAGGTGAGGAATGCAAATGCAGATGAACTAGGTAGCAGCGGCCCAGTATGTCTCTGCCATGCCCAACCATGTCTTCCATGACTTTCCAGGCAGAGCTGTACCGTCATGTTCTCCCGCAGAAGTCTCCAATAGACCCCGAACCGCATCTACGACTCCCATCTTCCTTATCGCCAAATCAACAAACGTCCAGAGACTCTCACCGGTCCACCCGATATCCAGCGCAAACCGAACCACCGTATCCACGACACGCGCCTGCACGTCCCAACGATCGGGTATAGCCTCGAGGAGATACAGCGCAAACATCCACCCCGATATATCCCGTGTATTTGCCTGGCACCAAGACATGGTTCGTTCGAGGAGTGCTATCGTTATATCCTCCGCTTCGGGTCCCGTTTTCGAAAGAAGGGTGTGCAATTGGCGCATGTAGCTAAAGGCGTAGTAATTGCGGGGATGCAGTTCTCCGGAGCGTAGGACGATGGATAATTCGGATTGTAGTAGCGATTGGGTTGCTTTTGGTGTTTCTCCCAGTTCCCGGATACCGAGTGTCCGGCGCAGTACCCATAACCGATGCTGCCATAAAGTCGGAGACTTGGTATGTCGATGTAGCGGAGAGCAAAGATATGAAGCCGTCAATGTGAGTTCTGTATCCAGTGTCTCCAGGGTGTCATCATTCCGTGCCTCGAGCATCTTAACCAGCCGTCGTTTTCGCCAGTTACAAGCCGTGGCGTGCTCCGCGGCGAAGAGTATGATGATTTCTGAAGCCCGCAAAACATCCTCATCCTCATATAACTCCTCTGTTTTTGTAGAGCTTTGTTTCTCAAAGAAAACCCGCCTGGCAGCCACAAAAGCCCCCACCAGGACTTTCTTGGTGATGCCTACGGAGCATCCATCGTGAAGCAGGGTACCGAAGCCCGGAGGAAGGATTTCGATCTCAAGGGTTTGATTGTGCTCATGCCTTGTTGTGAAGATCTTAGCAAGTTCTGCATAAGCTTGCTCGGGAATTGAGAGTGGTAGAGACATATTGACTGTAGGTTTTGGTGGAGGACTTCTCGGAGGTTCGATCTTCCCGAGCGGAGGACAAACACAAGTTTTGCAACGTCATTAATTTACAGGCAGCTATCTATCTATCTTTCTGCTCTGTTTTTCCACGCAGGCGAGTTCGTCGATTTATCTCGTCGGTGATATTTCATTCTCTTGCTCCTGTTATTCCTTCGTTTTTAATATACTGCCTTACTCCGGACGGAACCTGCTTCATTCGCAATCGACGCCCGTCACGGCCGCGAAACCACGACCATCGCAGCCATCATGCTATCCCTCGTCCTGACTTTCTTCCTGATCCATGTCGCGATCCATCTGATTAACACTGTTGGCGCGACGACAATTGACAACCTGGTATGTCTCCGCACTCTCCCCAGACCAACCTCCGGACGAACAGCATGGCTAACACCTTGTCATGAAAACAGCTATGGATTCTCTATTTGAAGCTACCAACCTCGACATCGGGACAAGGTCGCGAGGCAGCCCGGCTAAAACGCGAAGCCCTTGAGTTGAAACGAGACATGAACAACACCAGCTCCCAGGATGAGTTTTCGAAATGGGCCAAGCTGCGCCGTCGACATGATAAGACCTACGAGGAGTATGAGTCTGCGAGTACGTTTTTCCTGCAATACAAGCGAAGAAGAGAGGGAAAACAGAGAACAGAAGCTAACGACCACAGACAAAGCACTTAGCTCGCAGAAATCCTCCTTCGACTGGGCCATCAAAATCGCCCGCTGGATCAGCACGAGTGGCCTCAAGCTCTTCCTCCAGTTCCGGTACAATTCTACGCCCGTCTTCGTTCTCCCGCCCGGTTGGTTCCCGTATTACGTTGAATGGGGTTTGTCGTTCCCCAAGGCTCCTATGGGATCGGTTAGTGTGCAGGTTTGGAGCTCTGTGTGTGGGGTTGCTGTGAGGGTGCTGGCTGAGATTATCTCGACTGTTCTGCTGTGGGTCGGGAGCCGGATACAGCAGAGACGTGCTGTGCCTGTGGAGGCGAAGACGCAATGATTTGACGCTGGTTACGCGTTACGCTATATGAAAAAGGATCTAAGTTTTTGTATAGGTGTTTTATTATATTGGGCTATTTATTTTGAATAATAACAGACTCATCTTTGATGTTCATCAGATATGAAAACAATCGTTTATAATCAACAACCCCGTGCCGTAGCAGGAGTCTCAGGGCTTGACTCTATGATTGGTATATCATCACGCGAACGTAAGAAAAAGCAAGCACTGAAGAAAAGAGAGTCCGACCCCTTCGACAGGGCTTCTGTGACCGACGGAAATCATCCAGAGGACGTCCCAACCAGCCACCGCTTTGCCATAAGCTACAGACTCGAAAAGAAAAAAGAAAGGTGAACTCCTCGCCTCAAGAATGAGCCCCATTGAGTTACTCCCCCAGAGAATGAGAAGAGCAATCGCATAACTATCCAGCCACGACGAAAGGCAACCCAATAAACCCCTCTCCAATACCCAGCTATACCACCATTGTTACCACCTGACGGTGTCGGGCATAGACTGAGGCATTGGGAGGGAATAGGGCGTATAAGCCGCTATCGAATTGCTTCTATGGCGGCGCGTTTCCGCATTGCCTGGTCCATCTCCGAAGAAATGGTCAGGGTGTCCGGGGACTTTCTCCCAAAGCTGGTTTTCCGAAAAGGAAAAAGATATCGAGAGATATCTTGTGTGTAAGCTTTGAATGCGATTCTTTGAGCGAGGAGTTGAGGAGGAAAGAGGAAGGAAAAGAGAAGAGAAAAAAGTTTCGGGCCTTTTTTATTCGGCTAAGGTCGGGTGGAGCACGCTAGCTTTTTTGGGATTTTTAGCCACGTGATCTGTTTAGGAAACGGCCAATCATATTACCCAATGCTTGTAGGAGCAATATCAGAGCACAGAGGTACAGGACTACCAGTCTAAGCATTAAGATGAATACAATTGCTCCTTTTGATACCCTATGCCATAATTACAGAATATACAGCAGAATTTTACGCCTTGGCCTTGGTCTTCTTCTTGTCGGCCTTCTTCGCCTTCGCTCCGGTCTTAGCGGCAGCAGGTTCGGCCTTCTTCGACTCCTTCACTTCCTCAGCCTTCTTGGGATCCTCCTTCTTGGACTTCTTCTGGGTATCATTCTCCTTCTTGGACTCGGTCTCCTTGGGTTCCTCAATGGCCTTCACAGGTTCCTCAATGGCTTTCACGGGCTCCTCAGCAGGCTTCGAGTCCTCAATCGCCTTGGGCTCCTCCTGAACCGGAACCTCGTCCACATCCATCAGCTCAGGGAGCTCGACCTCGTATCCGACAGCCTTGAGTTTCTCAGCCTTGGCGAGACGTTTATTCTGCTCCTTCTCGATGCGGTCCGTCCACTGCTCACGAGTCTTGCCCTTGTCCAAACGCTTCTTCTCGATCTTGTTCCACGGGGTCCTCTTGAAGCGGCGGTTGGCGCCCTTCCAGATGTCGGGGTGCAGCTGTTCGGAGGGGATGTATTTGCACTTCAGGATGTGGCCGAACATTAGGTAGTTATCCATGGTCTCTGCGGCGATTCTGGCGACGGCGGACGAGGCGAATTCAACGAAAGCGTAGTGCTTAGAGCGACCGGTGATACGGTTGCGGGAGAGACGCAGACGGGTGATCTCGCCGAATTGCGAGAAGTAGGCGCGCATCTGGTACTCGTAGAAACCGTGGGGAATGCGTCTGTAGAAAAATATGTTAGATGATGGACGATAATAGGCTCAATTGAAAGCAACTCACCCAATATAAACGGTACCGGGAGCCTGGTTTTCACCTTCCTCGGCAGCCTTCTTCTGCTTCTTCAAGATCTTGCGCTTCGCCTTCTTCGAGTCGGGGATGTTAGGGACGGGCTGTTTGGGATCGAATCCTTCATCATCAGATGCGTCTTCGTCGCCGCTACTCTCGAAACCACGGATAAGAGCAGTCGTCTGGTCATCCTCGCCCTCATCATCACTACCCTCAGAAGCAGGAGCATTGGCCTCTTCCTCCTCAGATTCCTCAGGAGTAGGCTGTTTCTTAGCCTTGGATTTTGTGCTAGCCTTCTCAGCCTTGGGAGCTTCCTTCTTAGCAGGAGCATCCTCTTTCTCCTCCTTCTTAGTCTTCTTGTTGGTAGGCTTCTTCTTCTCCGGCTCAGCTTCCTTCACCTCAGGCTCATCCTCCTCATCGCTACTCAGGAAATCAGCGGCGCGCTTGCGAGGCTTGATCTGTCTCTTCGGCTGCTGCTGCTCCTTCTCGCCATTGGTCTTAGGCGCAGCATCAGACTTGGTCTCCTTGGCCGCGGGAGCATTCTTCTTGTTCTTCAGAGCGGACTTGGGGGCAGCTTTGGGTGCTTCGCTGGGTTGAGGCTCGACTTTCTTGGTCTTTTTCGCGGGAGAGTCGCTGGCGCCGGCGGCCGCAGCTGTTCAGGTCAGCATTAGATTTTTCACCGGGACAAAGGGAATGGGGATTATTTTACCCTTTCTCTTGGTGACTTTCTTGTCCGGTGCCATTTTTCTTGCTTTTTACGTATTCAGCGTAAATTGCAAGCTGGTTCGTTCGTGGAAAGTAGCAGATGCGGACTTTTTTTTTTCTTCTTTTTTTGCCCTTTTTTTTTCTTTTCTGCCCCGACGAAACAGCGCTAAGCGGTGAGCTCCTGTCTTAGCTCCGCCTCCGCTCTACCAAAGATACTCCATAGATTTCAATAACAACGACAAATTCAGAGCCATGGGGAAAAAGAAAAATGCGACGAAACCGCTAACGCAAGAGGAAATATGGGATGATTCTGCGCTCGTCCGGACCTGGGACGAAGCCGTCGAGGAGTACAAGGTGAGTAACTTTTGATCCGCGATATCGAGCACGTGATCTTTATCTGACGAGAGAACAGCTCTATCATAGCATCCATGCTAAGGGGGAGAATGTTGAGGATGTGTTGAGGCAGGCTGCGGTGGAGGAATCTGGGGGGGGAATTGGTCCGGCTGAAGAAGAACAGCAGGAACAGCAGATGGAGACTGATGATGTTGAGGCTCCGGAGGTTGTTCCTGAGGCTGGACAAGATGTATCTGAGGTATGGACGTCTTTTTCTTGTTGCATATATTTCTGAAGGGTTATGCTGACTTTGAACAGGAAACTACAGAATCGTATCAACCTCCTGAAGCAAACCCTATTGCTGAGGCTGGAGCTGGGACAGGTCCTGCTGCCGCATCCCCGATGCCTCATCCAGTGCTATCATCAGGTAAGGATCCTTTCTGCATGGAGATATAACTGATGTGCTAACATATGCCAGTTCAAGATGAAGGGCTTAAGAATCTGATGATGTCCTGGTATTATGCCGGGTACTACACCGGACTCTACGAAGGACAGCAAAAAGCGAACGCGAGCAGGAACGCAAACTCGTGATTTGATGTCACTAGCTCTATGGAATGAACGACCTAATCCTCAAGAGGCTTGCTCAAAGTCGCATGGAGTGTGACGAGGAACTCCACACCGGGCTACGCATTTCATAAATTCGGCTACATCGATATACCGTCAGAGTTTAAAGGGCCGCCAGACGGATATGCACCCGCCCATTGAGAACCAAGCGGGGTGGCAGATTGCTGAAGAAGCATCGAAAGCATACGATATCGGACTTACATGGGTTGACAAATACTCTTTTTTTTTTTTTTTTTTTTTTTTTAATTTATACAGGTAGCCTTGATTTGAGCGTTCGGCTTCAACTATACTGTATGCAGCTACTGCAGGAAATCCCACTAATATTAATTACTTATATTGCAATGCATTCCCAGCTTCAACTATCTATCCATCCATGAACCCTCACCCACAACACATACCCAAGGACCATCCCCTCCACTCACATCACACGGCGTTCAGCTCACCCATTTAAGAACCCAAGAGAGACCCAAGCAGAGGACCAAGGAGCGGAATGGAATCAAAAGCGCTCTTGCTCTTTCCACCACTAATAGTCTCCTGCGGGGGAGCAGGGGTAGCAGAGGAAGAGGGAGTGGCCGACGCCGATGCCGACGCCTTGCTAGGGGTGGCCGAGGAAGAAGCAGGAGCATGCACGCGAGCGTTCGAGGGCGTGGGCGCCGCGGAGTCGGCCATTTCTTCGGCCATCTAGTGTTTGTTAGTTGAGGTGTATAAGGTGTGAGAGGGGGGTGTAGACGTACGTGGAAGGCCCAGGCGTTGGGATCAGGACGGTTGTTCTGGGCAGTAGGGAGGGCAGTGGCGAAGACGGCCAGGAAGAGGCACAGGGCCAACATGGAGAGGCTGAGACGGGCCATTTTGGATTGTTTTCGGTCTTGTTTAGAAGCGAATGTTAAGTATACTCAAAGAGTGGACAGGCGTATAGCCAAATGGATAAGGAGTGGTTTGGATGAGCTTTAATGAATGATAGACTGAGACAGCGCAAAGAACGAGAGAGCAATGGACTACGTGCGATGAAGTATCATTTCCATATTTTTATATTGTCGAGCAAAGGGATGTTATTCTCATTTGGCTTGCGTGTGTATGCATAGACAAGGGGATCCTCAGAGTAGGTATGCATGTTTGCCTTCATGGGAATGAGGTACGTGCTTTTATCACGATTCACGACTCGTGCAAGGGAATCCAATCGGATGGTCTCCCTTTGCAGTTTGAAAAGCTTGTCTCGGACTCGACAGCAAGTCTAGTCTCTGGCCCAAGCTTGATACAGGCACAGTAGCATCGTGCACACATTCCCGCCCTTGATCGACGGCCGACAGCAAGGGTAGAGGTACGCATACAAAAACAGTACTGGCTCATTTGTCAAGCAATGCGTATGTCTATGCAACGTTAAGCGTTGTAAATTCCACAGAATACAGCTCTACGAACTGGAATGTCTCTCCCTTCATTGACACGTTTCGTTCCATACAAGAGAAGCGGACGCAACACAAGGGAGATTTAACGAAGGACATTGGTCCTTGTTGGAACTTATTTTGGGCACAAATTTGACCTCGAATATCATGGGGATATGACAGACAAGACTTCGAAAGTGCCTGTACTATGATACTGTTTACCTGTGGGTTAGTGAGTCGAGAAAACAAGGCGAGCAATTGACGAGTACGCGGAGTCAAGCCACGGAAGCTCATTTTCTTCCTGGACAAGATCTCCAGGGACTCATTCAATGATCCATCGATCCATTCCATCATTCAAATACAGATAGATATCTCGGATTCTGCGTGCAAAAGATGTATGCTCAAAGCGAACCTGTGCACCAATCCAGTCTGGTGACGGGATTGTAATTAAGCATAGCTTCTTTCTCGGTCTCGGACTATAATTTGTGGACGGAGTGGTGCGTTTACACCATCAACAAGGGTATGTTGGAGACCTGGGATATGTATGAGAGAGAAGAAGAAAAGGAAAAGAGGGAGAAAAATGCGATGCAAAAAAATTTATGGCGGTGGAATGCGGTGGGGCTCCGGGATATTATGAGGCCGAGCCGTTCCCAATCGGGTAGTGTTAGTACGGGGGAGTGGTTGTCTGTGAATTCATGAATGAGTGTAGTATTAACTAATTGCAGACTACTTTAAGGGGACGCCAAAGCATCGTCAAATATGGATATAACTAAACGCTTAAAAACGAGCGAGAACTTTGTCCTGAGTATCGGCCAAGGCCCACTGGTCGCCGTGCTTCTTGCTCAGAACCGACTTGGCCTGTTCAGCAGTGAAGCCTTTGGCCTCAACAGCCGGGTTGTATCCTAATCCATTAATCTTACCGATTTCAGTGCTCGATACAGGGGCGGCAATCTTGCCGTCAGCGCGCTTGTAGACCGTCACAACCACGGCACCACCCAATCCCAGGTTGTGCTGCAAAGCCGCGTCCGTGCCAGAGATCAACCGGTTGTTGGCCCAGCCACGCAGGTGCCAGACCAATTCTGCACACTGCGCCAGACCGGTCGCACCGAGCGGGTGGCCCTTGGAGATGAGCCCGCCCGATGGGTTGATGACCATCTTGCCGTTGTAGGTGATGTCACCCTTGCTGACCATCTCGTGCGCCTTGCCGGGCTCGCATAACTCGAGAGCATCAATGGTGATCATCTCGTTGGCGGAGAAGCAGTCGTGCAGTTCGCACACCTTGATGTCCTTCACATTGACACCAGCCTCTGCGATAGCCGCTCGGCAGGCGTTGCGGGCCATACTGAAACCCATCAGGTCAATTGAGCTGCGATTGTAGAGCGAGGGAGTGTCGGTTGCCAGCTGCTGGCCAGCGATCAAGACTGCCTGGTCCTTGAGATGTGGACGAGCGTCAAGGAAAGCCTGAGAAACGACGACAGCAGCAGCACCTCCGTCCGAGGTCGGGCAGCATTGCAACTTGGTCAGGGGTTCGTGGATCATGGGAGACTTGACGACTTGCTCAAGGCTGTACTCCGTCTGGAATTGCGAGTAGGGGTTGCGCTTGGAGTGTTCATGGTTCACCCGGGCGATTTCTGCAAAGTCTTCCAACTTGGCTCCGTATCTTCGCATATCTGTTAGTATTCAATCGTAATCCATGAGGGAATGAACATACTTCTCCATATATTCACGACCCGCATTACCAAACATCTGAGCCGCACCGGGAGCGTTGCTGATCCCTCTCGTCTCTGCCATCATTCTACCAAGCAGACCTGTCGGGTTCGCCCGGTCCTGGTACATTGACTGGAGACTTCCCGGGTTCATTTTCTCGAATCCAACAACAAGCACACAATCCGCGGCGCCATGGGAGACCAGGGTGCGACCCATAGCCAAACCGGTGGATCCCGTCGAGCAATTGTTGTTGACATTGTAGATGGGGATTGAGGTCAATCCGAACTGATAGAAGACCCGTTGGCCGCAGGTACTGTCGCCGTAGACATAGCAAGCGACGCCCTGGTCGACATCGTCGTAGTTGATATGGGCGTCCAGCATGGCCTTGACACCGGCTTCGAAGCCCAGCTCATGGTAGTCGACCTTGCCACGGGGCTTGATGAACTTGGTCATGCCAACGCCTAGAACGTAGGCCGGCCCTGCTTCCTTTCTGCCCATGGTGTAGGTATGTCTTGTTTATTGAATCGGATAAGGGATGGATAAGTGTCGATGCGGAGTATGGAATGGTATCTGGTATTTTTTTTTTTTTTTTTTTTAAAAAAAAAAAAAAAAAAAAAAATCAATACTTCAAACGAGAAACAACCAACAGAAATCCACAATCAGGATCCTAAATCGACTTTATTCCAGCTCAATGCGGGATATATTGCGGAGAAGAATAGACGGGGAGCCGATTGCGGGGACATCGTGGCCGCGACCGAAAAACCGAGGTCCCGAGGATATTGGCTATTAAACATATGTTCTCCGTACGACGCCTTCTGATTCTGTTGCTTCTTTATTCCTGGCGACAATCAATAGTACTACTTTGTAGTCATCCAGAAAATACTAACTAGTTACCCCAATACATAACTATCTAATGTCAAGTTTAACCTGGTAACACAACAACATATTCCCGAGCATATCTCTATCATAGACTGGAAAGACATAACAGATGATATCCTTGGATGGACTTCACTTATACCCCGGAGTATCCCTGGTATGCGTATACTTGTAAGTCGTCTGCCTCTGAGGTCATTGGATGTAATCAATGCCCCGTCAATATGCGATATTCGGCTTCCATTGGGACGCTGCGTTGGCTCAGAGGACATTCCCTGGTAGGATATTTTTTGGATAGCAAAGACAACGATGGCCCTGAAGCTTATCCAATCGCCAAGTATATGCAGTCAGTGGTTAAGGCTTTACCCCGTGAGCCTTCGCTGTCGATGTAGCTATCCTTCACTGATGCAGACTTCCGGATCCTCATATTTCAAACCGTCTCCTTCGCATGTAATATGGAATAGACCAAGACCACTCCATCCGTAGACACATCAATTCGTCATCACAAAAGCTTCGCAAGTGCCACTGCATGCCTATCTCAGATTCAGGCGTCTGTTCCAGCAGCCTCCCAGCCCATGAGAGTGCTTACCCGGGTAAGACAGAGCCATAGGAACGGATAGAAGCAGACTTGGGACAGCATCAAATGCTTCCCGACAAACCCAGGATCACCACACATTACACGCAACAAGCAATCACCGTGGATCCTGTTCAATTCAGTTCCATACTCCATAGATCCTCCTCACCCATAGGTCCTGGACAGTTGCTCGCTTTTAGCCTTTGGAGAACAGACGCGGATCATAGTGTTCAAACAACGCAATAGACAGTCATCTCTATAGTCCGCGAACAATTTTCTTCTTATCTTCTTACCCTTGTATATAGAAGTCTAGCTCGACTCACGAAGACGTCACTCCGCTGTGCCCCTAACCCGATTTAGAGGGGTATTCTGGGCCACCCCACCGCCTTGGCCCACATGCTTTTCTCTCGAAGAATCACTGGAGGAACATTTTCGGTTGAACAGCCATCCCGCGGTGTTCGGCGCTATTGTGTCTTGCTGTGATTTTCACTGGCAATTGGTATTGCTCTTCACCTTTAGGGAGCAGATTCTGGGTCAGTCTAGAGGTATGTGGTCTGCTTGTTGCTCGTCCTTGGCGCGGTCATACGGAAAAAAAAAAAAAAAAAAAAAAAAAATAGAGGACAAATGAAGAAACGTCAAAAAATGTATGGCTAGCTAACTGATGGCCGGTGGCGTCGGTATTCTTATAGGGTGTTCACTGAATCACACGTCTCTCGTTCCCCTCCAAGACCCTCTGGACGTCCTGCTGTTGGATTTCAACCAACTCGGAATATAGACACGGGAAATTCGCTACACCTTAGTCGGCAATTGCATCGGCTGTGTGTTCACCCGCTCTCAACCTCTTGTCGTCTCAATTATACACATTACCACGATCAAAACGACATTCCTCGTCTGTCGAGAAGCTGCAGGCTACAAAAACGGTGTTCAAGCCCACGTTAATGGACAATTGTGGGACGCCGAACGGTCTGCTCGCAAGTTGAGAGACCGCTTTGCGTTCCATAGGGTTCCCCAGCCTGCTTTCACCAGGCCACAGTGGCCCCGACATCGAACACTGCACAGGCAGTCAATAGTCTCAAAAGAGACGAAGAAGAGGAGATACAAACTAGTCTTGGTCTGCCCTCAATGGGCTACTTCCGGGAATGACTATTGACAGACCATCTGAACATGCACCTTTCGCCTCTTCACTCTCCAATTCCTCTACTATAAATCCTGTCTGGACAATGGATGAATCGACTCGCAACAAACTTCTCAAGCGGTATAAGACGCAGGTGGCCTCGGGGACTTCGACCATCTGCGCGACTCTTGCTGTGGTAGGTGGCCGGCGCATCGGGCATTGAACGAGAAGGCTGTCTACGAGTCATCTGTACTAATACTGTCTCTTTGCAGACTCCTCTGGAGAACGTCAAGACACGTATGCAAACGTGAGCGATGTCAATGGCCTCAGAATATTGCAGACAACCACTGACTTGTACAAGACATAATTTTCCGAATATCTTCCAATGTATTCGCTATTTATGGCGGACAGAGGGCCCGCGTGGCTATGTTGCTGGTTAGTTGACGTTAATCCCCAATCTTCCATTCGAGCTCAGATTTAACTCGTGGCCTTTATTTTAGGAGCTCTGCCACCTTTGGCAAGTGTCACGGTGGTTCGTGTGATTAACTTCTCCACGTACTCCAACGCAAAGCATAGTATTTCCGGCTTCTTTGAAAGAATTACAGGCGAAAATCCCTTGTCACACTACAATAAGCCGGGTAGTGGCCCTACCGCGTCGAGTATCTTAACGTTCACCCTTTCTGGATTCTGCGCCGGTGCTATTACCTCCCCTCTGGCCTGTAAGTCTTCTTGAAATGATTTTTAATTTGATCGAAGTCTGACCCACTTTGTATAAGGTCCATTTGAACTCACCAAGAATGTGGTTCAAACCTCCGTTTTGGTATCTAACCGCTCTATGGCGGCCCCTGATGCGGTCAGAGACCCTGATTTGCGTAATAGGCCGCGGCTCAATACCATTGAAGCGGTCAAACAAATCATCCAGCGCTATGGGTTCCGTGGCCTTTACACCGGGTTCCATCTGCATGCTCTGCGTGATAGCGTTGGGTCCGCCCTATACTTTGGAGTCTACGAGACTGTCAAACAAATCACGGTTAAAAAACTAGGCCCTGACACTTCTCCGTTTGGCGGTACTATGGTTGCGGGGGCCGTTTGCAGTACCGTGCCCTGGTTCTGTGTAAGTACTACATGTCTGCTTGGACATACAATTTGCTTACCACGCGTCTTTAGACCTATCCCCTCGATACCCGCAAAACACGTGCGCAGAGCGTTCTGCTTGGAAAGACCAAGCAAGTCGGAGAGGCCTCGGCAGCCGTCTCCAAATCGAGCATGTACAAAGGCATATCTATCATCCTGTTCCGGACAGGCATTAACAACATGATCTTGTTGAGTCTCTTCGAATATATCAAGGCGCGTATCAACCAGCTAGAGGTATAGCGCGTCATTGCATAAATGGTGATTTTGTATTATTATTATTATTATTATTATTATTTTTTTATTTTTTATTTATTTTTTATTTTTTTTTTTGTTTGCAAATCTGGATTCGGGGGAATATTGTCATCAGGTATTTATGTTTGTTTGCTTTTTTCTGTCTGATGATTGATTATGATCCCACGTACATATATGTGCAATAGCATGAGCCACTGCTTCAGGATATACAACATAGGTCTAAATTAGTGTATGGTTTCATAGATCAGGAGCAGTTGGTGCCCGATCCATCAGGCATCAGGACGTCATCCGTTGCCCGGTGGGGTTTGGCTTTTCCTTCGCTGTCAACAAACCAGAAAATTAAGACTCCCAACGCGGACTTTGGTTCTTCTCCTGGCTCGCCTTTTGCCTGGCTTTTATAATGGCAGCGTATGTCTATACTTCTCCTCTTACGAGATACCGGTTTCTTAATCCTGTCCCGCTAACCAATGCCCATCGCACAGCAACATTCTCCAACTCCCGTTTCGGCGCTCCCACGGCGTCTCTCTATCGGATGCAATCACCCAATATATCTCCTCCAAATATGACCAGCGTCCGGATATGTTTGCAGAGGATCTGCTGATCATCGACCGTCTACGAACTGAGGCTATCAATGTCCAGGAACCGCATGTCAGCGGGATCAGTCGGTTGGTCACGTATGCGGCGCAGTTGAAATGGCTGAGTGGGAAGTTTCCGATAGACGTGAGTGTTCATACAACCATGGAAGCTATGAATCTTGCGATGAAGAGGGCGAATATTGATTGTGATTTATAGGTTGGGGTGGAATTCCCGTGGTATCCTGCGTTTGGGTTGAACGCATCTAGGCCGAGTATGTCCCCACTGGAGTACACGGGAAGAAACAGACTGACGGAATTATCAAGCTTCGCAGAATAACCTCCGCTTCGAGCTCGCGAATATCCTATTCAACCTAGCGGCCCTGTACTCGCAACTAGCATTCAACGTGAACCGCACCACCTCCGAAGGACTCAAACAAGCCTGCAACTACTTCTGTCAGTCAGCCGGTGTCCTAACAAACCTGCGAACCGATATTCTATCCGACCTTCGCACCTCACCGCCAGAAGATATGGACGATATGACAATCCAGAGTTTGGAACAACTGCTGTTGGCGCAGGCGCAGGAATGTTTCTGGCAGAAGGCTGTCAAGGATGGGTTGAAAGATGCGTCGATTGCACGGCTTGCGGCTAAAGTGTCGGATTTCTATGCGGATACTGGGGACTTTGCCGTGAAGTCAAATGCGATCAGTCCGGAGTGGATTCACCATACGACGGCTAAGCATCACCACTTCGCTGCGGCTGCGCAGTACCGGCAGTCGCTAGACTGTCTCGAGAAACGCAAGTACGGTGAAGAGGTTGCTCGTCTTCGTGACAGTTTGACATGTGTGAATGAGGCGTTGAAGGAGTCGCGATGGATTAATCGCGTTGTGCTGGGTGATCTAAATGGGTTGAAGAACCGAGTGACGGAGGATCTGAAACGCGCAGAAAAGGATAACGACGTGATCTACCTCAACCCGGTGCCACCAAAGTCGGAGCTCAGGGCCATTGATCGAGCCAGTATGGTGGCAGCGAAGGCGCCGTCGCAGGTGACGGATGCTATTGCTATGCTTGGAGACAATGGGCCTCTTGGTCAACCACTGTTTTCGAAGCTGGTCCCGTATGCTGTTCACATCGCAGCCAGTATCTACTCTGATCGTCGTGATCGGTTGATCAATGATACCGTCATCGTGGAGCTGGAATCAATGACGGACAAGATCAGGGAGTATGTCCCTCCCTGTTAAAACCGCATAGGACGTTTACTGACGAGCACAGTCTGCTATCATCCTTGAACCTGCCTGGCTCACTCCAAGCGCTGGAGAAGCCACTTGGCCTTCCACCCACGTTGGTCTCGCACGCCGAAGAAATGCGCCAGCAAGGCGGATTGAACGAGCTACGAAAGTCTCTCGAGGATACCTCCAAGGTCAAAACCAACGACAAAGCAGTATTCCAGGAGGCCGTCGAACTTCTGCAAGCAGAAAAGGCCGAAGACGAGAGTTCACGCATGAAATACGGAACAGACCGGTGGTCGAGAGAACCGTCTCAAAAGGCAGCGCCAAAAATCTACTCGACTTCCAATGATATCAACGGATACTTTGCATCTGCGCAGAACAGCGACAACCTTGTTGAGAGGAAGATTAAGGATTCTGAGGCGATCTTCCGAGTGCTGACGGGCACCAACCGTGATCTCGAACACTATGTGCCTAGTAGTAGGAGGGCGGCGATTCCGCCGGAGTTGGAACAGGAAACCATTCGACTACGGGGGCGCTTGAGTGAGCTTAGTCGGTTGGAGAACCGACGGAAGCGACGGGTCCTGACGCTGAAAGATAAAGCTCGCTCGGATGATATCAGTAAGTGCACGCCTGAGATACTAATGGAATTCTCATGCTTATAATCTTCAGGCCATTCCCTTGTCAGAGAAACAGCCCGTCTGGAGCGCGAATTCCCCATGCAAACAATCCAAGCAAGCCAATTCGAGGACCTCTTCGAAGAAAAACTCCACCTCTACGACTCAGACAAGCAAATGGTCGAACAAGAACAGCACGACCAGGATCAGGTCGCCGCTCAGGTTCGCGAGGCCAACCGCGCATTTACGAATGCCCAGCACGGTGATGCCTCGTCCAAGGCGCGGGAAAAGGCGCTGCAGGAACTCGAGAACGGGTATCTGAAGTACAAGGAGATTCTCTCCAACATTGAAGTTGGGAGGAAGTTTTATAACGACCTTGCGAAGCATGTTGGGAGGTTCCGGGATGATTGCAAGTCTTTTGTGCAGCAGAGGAGAATGGAGGCTAGTCAGATTGAGGCGTATGTTCTTCCCCTTGGACATTTATTGATGTATACTGACTGGATAGTGAAATCTCGAGCGTCGCGGCAATGGCATCGCTTAACATCTCTCAACCGCATTTCCGCCAGCAGCCAGCAAGCCATCCGTCCGCGTATAGCCAGCCCCAGTCTCAGCCTCCCGTCCAGCCCAAAACACAACCTCAACCACAGCCAAAACCAGTGGTGCAACCGCAAGCTCCAGCGCCATCGCCGCCGCAGCCTCAGCCGCAACCGGTGCAAGTGCAACCAGTGCAACCCCAACCACGACCATCAGCTACCGGAGAACCATTGCAAGCACCACAACCGACACGCGCACCGGTGCCCGTTCCCACGCCGGGGATATGGTCTCCTGAGATGGGGATACGATTCGGAGGATCGCCAACAGGAAGGGGACAAGGTCAGCCGGGGCAGTGGAATCCTAACCAGGGGATACGATTTTCTTAGCAAGCCAGTATATATTGCATAAGTTATATACAGTAATCCATTGCTATCAAGCTATCAACAAACAAAGCAATTAAGTATGCACACGCATCAAAATAGCAGCCCCCTGCGCCGCCAACTCCCGGGTATCAATATCCAAATCCTCCCTACAACTCAAAAACTCGAATTTCTCAATCCACAACTTCCACCGTTCCTTTGTGATAACATCCCCCTTCGCCCGTACCCCAGACTCAGCCCCCTCCTTCTCACTCTTCTTCTCCCCCTTCCTCGCCCACAACTCCTCCCCCATAATAATCACCCACACCCCCGCCGCCGCGACAAACGCCCGCACCTTCCGCGCCTCCTTCACAGGAACATCCCCTTTAGTATCATCCTTATGCCTCTGCTCCAGTGCATGCCGCAGCTCAAAGATCCCAACCCGCCCCATATCGGCAATATCCCGCCTCGTCACATGCGCCAAAAACGCATTCAGATTCTCCCACCCTGCAATCTCAAGATCCTTGTACCCGCTCCCCGCACCGGGCGAATCATTCAGTACCTCCCTCGTCGCGGGCCCGAATATACTAAGTACAGACCAGAGCTCGCCATCTTCGTAGATCCAGTTATCTTTGGTTTTCTGGTCGATGTTTGACGGAAACGGGGGGTCTGGTTGTGTCTTTATAGTTTCGAGGAGGGAGAGGAGTTTTGTGTGGCCTTTAGAGGGGGTGGAGGGGTCTAGGACTGCCGCTGGGGGTTTTTGGTCGGCGGGATCGACGCGGGGGGTTTTCTTTGCGGTCCAGAGGATGGTGTACCAGAGGTCCCAGAGGAGGACTTCGGTTTCTCCTATCTCATTATTAGCATTCCAGTTCTAACACTGGGGAGATAGCAATTCATAACCAGGAGGGAACGTACTAACGTCGCCAGACGAATATGCCTCGTTCACCGGCTGCACGATTTTGGATACGGCTGTCGGCAGATCGATTTCATCGGCCATGTACGCTTCCACGAGCGGGGTGAAGGGGAAGTCTGGGCTCCCGCGGAACCAGTTGCGGTGTTGGGAGAGTTCGTCGAGGGTGGTCATTGTGCACTGTATTTCTTGAACAATGTCTGGTGTAGTTATGTTGAATCACAGGTACTTGGCCTGTAGATAAGGATATTTGTACTGTACTTTGTATGGGGCTGAGCTGGGCGGGGAGATACGGATAGAGCCGTGATGGATGATGTCATTGTGTTGCATTAGGATGTATAGTGTGCATAAATGGGTGGTTATGCAGTTACGCTAACCCTTCTTGGCCTAGTCTGCACTGCTCTAGATATGGAATGGACCAATCATGAGTGTACGTTTGTGAACGTGTACTATGTACAAAGGAGGTTGATATGTATCCTATCTACAGAGAGATATAATATATATATACTAGACTATCTAGGAGTACGGCTATACTAAACCACCAAAACAACCCTCTTATACCTCGTAAACGGAACCTCACCCCCAGTGCTAACCTGCAATATCAAATGATACCCATCTACCATCTCTGCATCCTGCATCGCCGGAAGTGTAACCCTAACTTTCTTTGCGCGAACGGCGTCCGTGAATCCCTGCGAGTTCAGCTTGACCAATTGTCCATCCGAAAGTGGTTGGATGTTTAGTTTCTCGTCGCTTTGTGGGCCGGGGTTTGGTAGGTAGGAGGGTTCTTGGTATTGGTACCATTCGAACTGTAGATCATCATGCTGGTCTGTGTCGATAGTTTCACTTGCGTCGAAGATGAAGGATTGGTTCAATCGCGCATGGATGATCAATGGCTCCAAACCCTCATGCCCATTCACACGAATAACAGGCGGATGGCGCGCGGACGTATAATCCGGAGAAAGCGTCCATTGCATCCTCGCCGCAAAGTCCATCTGAAACGCACTGCGCCAGCGGAAGATAGTTGCATGGTTTGACTTCTCGGTCTCTGTCTTGTTCCCAGAGGTGTAGTACACCGTATCAATGGTATCACCGAACTGCGTCTCATGAGAATCATCTGAAAGGCGTGTATATCGGCCACCCCAACTCCCCCATTCTGGTCTCTCAACATGCCCCAGTCCATTCGGGATGAAATACAACAGACTCGGTGAATCTCCCTCCATCGTATACTCAATATCAGGATACACACCTCCCAACTCCCCCTTCTGGATAAACCCCCCCAACCACTCATTCTGCACAATACTATCATTAGCCGCCGGTGAAAGACCCGTCGTCGACATCCCCGTCCACGTCGCAAGGGAATACGCTTTCCACGCATGTCTTGAAGCAATGTAGAACAAATCCGGGTATGTCGCTCTCAGCCAGGGCCCTGTGTCATCTTGGTCGGAGATGGTGTATATGCGGAGACGGGAGCGGAGTGCCTTCGCTTCGGTTGGGGAGTGGGTGCGAGTGATGTGCTGGAGGGCTTGGGCGAGGGTGTTTGTGCCGGCCCAGATGGGGAGGTGGAGAATTGCGGTTGAGGATTTGAGGGACTTGATTAGGTGGATTGTGCCGGGGCTGGGGGTTGTATTGTTTTGTAAGGCTTGTTTGCCGTAGACCTGTTCATGTTAACGTCTGGATATTACCAGATATGGGAGCATAGGCATACAGTAGGCCCCGAAAAAACAACACCAAGCAACTCCTCAGCAGAAGAATACTGCTTATCCTCCGGTACATGTTGGTTCAGATTATCCACCACACTCCCACACGCACGAATGATCTCGCGAATAGCTTCTGGATGTGTCTCATTCGGAAGCCATGTCGAGGTCGTGGCTACTATGCCTTCTGTCTGGAACTCATTCGAGTACAGCAGGTAGCGGACTAGTGATTGCGAGTCATCGGGTTCGTTGAGGATGTCGGATAGGATGAATATGCGTGGTTTTTCTGTTGTGTTTGTGCTGAATGTGGGTCGTATGAAGGATAGTAAGAGGAGCATGGGGAAGAGGGTGAAGGGGAGCATGATGGCAGGGTTTTCTGTGTGCATACCAACCGAGTCTTGTTTTCTAGGATTTCACCTGCTTTTATAATACTCTACTCGGTCAATCGCTTCCCTATATGTTATGGAGTAAAACCTGTCCGAGCATGTTCGTCATTCCCCAGATTTTAATACATTTCCCCAGAGTCCCCGCAACCACGCGGTGCGCTTCGTCCCGACTTTCTTCACGATGACTCCTCGTCTCGTGGCAGAACATATTGACCAAGACTGCCACCCAATGTTGTTGCGAGAAACAGGTTAGTCTGGTCAAGTAGTAGGTATAATTGGCTGTCTGACAGCATACAACGAATACGATTCGGAAAGAATCTCTTAAAGAAACATGATCCAGCATTGATTCGTTGTTCAATCCAATAGTAATAATAACAATACCATCCAAACTGGCCGAGGAATTGGGGGATAAAAAGGGGGTATTAAGAAAACACACGAGAACATATCAAACAACCAACCAACCAACTTACAGGAAGAAAAATAAGAACAATGTAACAAAGAAAGAGGACAGGAAATACAGGAGATGAATCGAAGTAGAGACCAAAAAAAAAAAAAAAAAAAGAGGAATAAATCACAACCGAAGAAGATTATCCCAAAAAGTCGTGCCCAATTATGTAGTAGTAAAATGGGCTTCGAATCGTCAATAATCCAGAAAGACGAACGGAAATAAAAGCATATGTATGACTGTGTATGAGTTTTATGTACCTCCCGGAAGTTCTTAGAAACTTCTTCAACATCGGTAAAAATAGATATCGACAATATCATGCCATGATTATCATTAAATCGGGTGTGCCGTGTGCCGTGTCTTGCTCGAATATGGGAAAGGAAATTCGTCACGGGCGATCAACGGTATCGTCTCGAGATGTCATGCTTTTTTTTTTTTTTTTTTTTTTTTTTTTTTTTTTTTTTTTTTTTTTGTAGTTTTCATTCTTCACCCTCGTCTGTCGTAGAGTTTGCTCCAAACATCCAATCTGTACTGTTTCTTTCCAGTGATCCATTATGGGTGGGTAGATGCTCGTCGCGCCAGTGGAAACGGATAAGCGAAGACCGCAAGAAGACCGGGACGAGGTGAGCACGCTTCCTCAAGGCTTCGCATTCACTTCGCGTATCATGCTGGATGGCAACCTCCTCTACGGAGGCGTAATAGACAATCCATTCATGAGCTTTGGAAGTGGCTTTCGAGTGGCCTTGTTCGCCGCCTTGGACGGTCGAGGCACTCCATGAATCATGCGGGGGTCTTTCATCAGGCTTGTCTCGAGTTTCGCCGGTGCTATATAGGTCAGCAAAGTTCATGGACACTGGGCATAAAGATGGACGGACCTTTGACTGCCATGCGGCTGAAATCTTCAGAGATACTCTGCTGATTCCGACTGCTGGGTGCGACTGACGCCGCATTAGCGGTCCGCCAGAGATGGTTCGAAGTGTCAGACAGGAAGTCTGTCGTGCTCCGGCCAGAGAAAATCGAAGAGCGACCACGGTTGCGCTTAGACAGGACGATCTCATCGAAGAGCGTCATGCGGGGGTCTTTGTTCTTCGACTTCGGGTTGGAATACTCTCTCTCGCTGATGAATTCGTTGAATCCTGGCCCATTGTTAGCACGCCTCCTAAACAAAGAATAGCCGAGAGGAAAATACCTTGAGTCTGTGACAAAACAGCAATGTACTCCGCATGTTCACCCGGCAAACTCTTCATGAAAGCCTCCATATTGAAGCTGTAGTACAAACCAGACTTCTTCTTGTCACCAGTAGGCGGCTGAAGAAACTTCTTGTACGTGTAGAACAGACTGGCGAAGCACCGGACAAAAGCCGCACGAACCTGTTCCGGGTGGAACGCGGCCGGGCACACAATGCAGATCTGCAGAGCACACTGATTGTGCACAACGGTCTTGCAGGCGCTGCATTTGTACATTCCTTCCTCGGCCCGGTCATTGCAGATCGCACAGATGGCCTTGTCGTCCCAAGGCTGGACCTGCAAGCAATGTCCCTCCACCCAACACGTGCCTTCCGAGTTATGGATAGGTGGTGGAGAGGCCGTCGGGACAATTGTGGATGCAGCAACTGTTGACTGGGCATACACAGACGGCGCATAGGTCGATCCAGGGTTATAATCGGTGTTCAGAGTCGTGACGGACAGGTTAGGCGTGTGGCCCAAGAAAGGCGCGCTGGGACGTCGGGGAATGCCCGTCTTCATGTCCATGCCGAATGAGGAGCTCCGCCGGGACGCCGCATCAAAGTGACCAGATCGCTTTTCCCGCAGGGATGCCTGAAGAGCCAAACCCGAGTCCGTGCGAGATCCTGGCGGAGGGAAATGACCTGAAGTTGGCGAGGTATCCATCCTTGGGGATGGTGGAGACCCTGTCTTCGAAGTGGAGCCCGTCCCTGGTCTATCGGATCCCTTGGATGAGTAGCCTCTAGACACCGACTCATTGCGAGCTTGCAGATACGCATTGAAAATGGGTGGCTGGTACGGGTTCTGGGGATTCGAGTTTTGGCCAAAAGAACTCGAGTTGAGACTGACGTACTTGGCCAGTTGGGTGGACTGCGCCTTGGGGTTGAAGATAAAAGGATTCTCAGACATGAAGGAATCGAACGGATAGGTTTCGACGGCGTACGCGGGAGGACCCGTGGGCACACCGCACCGATTGTGGTGAGGGGCTGCCAATTGGAGCAACGACAGCAGTTTCCGGCGCTGGTGTCGCGGCAGCGGAGTGGGCCTAATTGTACTCTCAATCATGTCGGAGTCCAAATCAACCAGGACGAAGTCGTCAGATGGCAATTCCACCTTTTCATACCGGCGTTCAATACCCACGATGTACGGGCACGGTGCTTCGAGGGCTTGGATCAGACGGGCGGGGAGAATTGGAATGAGGACACCGGTCCATTGGATAGGGAACAAGAGATCGACCAGGGCCTTGGTAGCCAGATAGAGCATTGATGTATGAGAGGATAAGAAGATGATGCGTGATTCCGTCAATGCATACTATCCTGTGTTAGCTTTTTCGCTTTTCCATCTCACTCCTGACAAATTGCACTCACCTCAAGCAAAATAACGATATTAGGTACCGATAGAGCTCGGAATAGAGCAAAGATATCAGTCTAGCAAACGTTAGAGGGCCAGCACCAGGAAGAAGGCAAAGGGGAACGTACATTACGCGAACCGGGCAATTCATTACTGGCCTCCTTACGCGCAAACAGACGCAATTCCCTGACCGATAACTCAACCTGTGTCTTCGAAGCATTGGGACTGAATGCTTCAGTGCAGAGGTTCATGACGTATCGCTCCAAAGGCTGCCAGATACCCATGCGCGGCGAACTGGGAGGCACACGCTGGATGCCTTCAGTCATGGGAACAATGACCGCTTTCAACCACTCTTTCCACAAGCTGGTCATGCTAGCTTCGCGGCCCAGAATTCCGTATGCGCGGGGGATCCAGAAACCCGTATCGCCATCTGTGAGACCCTCAATTTTGGAAGCAGCTCCATGACGGACAGGGCGCAAGAGATCGGTCATCAGCCCGATCTTCTCCTCCACTGCGCTGATATCATCTTCCAATTGCTCTCTCTGTTCCGAGCCCGAGGGGACTGTTGGCAGTTCCGCAAGCAGCCGGGACAGCTTCGCACGCTCAGAGGCCAATCGTTCTCCGAGACTGGCAGCCAGTTCCCGCTCTTCGTCGGTCATGTTGTCCTTGCGCCACTCCTCGCAACGCTTCTCGAGTTCTTCAGCCGCCTGCGGGTTTAGGGGAATCCAGATAATAACACAGATGGCGTGGATTCTCGCACCGGTATCGGTGGTCATGACAAAGCCATGCCAGGTAGAGCGTGGTCTCTGGTCGGAGGAAACGATGTTGATATCATTCGGGAAGGCAAACATGGGCACGTAGTCGGGGAAATTGCACCGTTGCTTCAACTCATCAGGCATGCCTTTGGTGGGGTATCTATCAAGCAGGACGGGTTCGAATCGACGTTTCAATGGGTGCATGGTGGGGGAAATTTCGAGCGGTTGCGGGGCTGGAATGACGGAATTGTAGTTACTCAGGCGTCGCGAAGTTCGTATCGATGCTGCAGATGAACCTGTCAATCAATACCCTCTCTCCCCTCTCTTTGAATGCGAATCTCACCTTGACGGGCCACAGAGGGCTGTCTCTTCATACTGTTCATGTCGCGAAATGCCATATGCCGGCGCACGCTGCCAATTCCAGAACGAAGCAGATTGCCGCCCCCTGACGAGTTCTCTTCCGAGACGATCTTCTGGGTGCGTAAACGGGACCTAGGCCGGTTATTCGGGGTGATCGCACCCGCGCTGAGACTCAGATCCGACAGAAAGGACTCTCTCTCCGAAGCGAATTTGAGCAACGCCTTGTCGAAATCAAAGTGACCCGAATCGTAGATCAGAGCCGAGGTTCGCGGCGAAACCGCGGCCGGAGTAGCAATACCATCATTATCCCCTGCACCATCACCATTGCCGCCATTACCACCGTTACCGCCATTACCACCGTTGTCCTTTATGGTCATGCTGCTGCGGTTACTGCTGGAACCGTTGGGATGGGGATCCGAATCCCCTGAACGAAACGACAGGCGCTGAACGGAGTCCCGATTCCCATTGGCAGAACCAGGTCTGGAGAGCCCATCCAGCCGAGGATCATGGGCCTCTTCAGCATCTGCATCCTCCTCGATAGTATCAGCGAGGGCGGGGCCGGGGGAAGTGGCACTGTTGGCTCTGTATTCGTCTCCTAAGCGGCGAAAGGTATCGAGAATCTCGGTCCCATCCACACCAGCAATCCAAAAATAATCCGCAAGAGGAGTCGCAGACGCCTCAGACGTCGAGGAGGAAGTGGAAGTAGAAGAGAATGGCATCTCGTGAGCGGATTGGAATCGCGGGCGCGCGAGTGGTCATCAACCTTTTTTTTTTTTTTTTTTTTTTTTTTTTTTTTTTTCCTCGTTTGGTACAGGGGTTCTCAAATCAGATCTTGGCTTTTGTTGTTCGAAATATTTGCTTTTTTCTAGATCATGCGAGTTGGTCTGGATCAGGATTGTTTGTTTGTCTCCGATTCAAAGGTCAATGGTCAATTCGGGAGGGGGGAGGATTTAACGATCAGCGGTGGTTCTGGCGGAGGTTGGAGACGGAGTTGGGGGGTTGTAATGACAGGTAATGATATAAGTATAAGGAATCGGGTGGGGAGAGATAACTATTAAGAGGAAGGAAGAGAAAAAGAGGAGAGAAGAATAGAAAACAGGAACAGAACAGGAATAGGAAAGAGATGAGAAGAGAAGGAAAGAGTGGAAAGAAGAGGGGATGATGGATCGACTGGAGAAGGAAAAGGAGTAAGTAACAGTGAAAGAGCAAAAGGAGGACCAGCTTGAAACGAGGCCAGAAAATAAAATAAAAAATAAAAAAACCTCCTTTTTTATGGATTTATTACCGTGATTTTATTATCATAATTTTAGAATAATTTTTGTTTGTTTGCTGCATGATAATGCACTTATTCTGCTTTGTTTTACCACGTATCTTTATCTGATTATAGCAGTCATATAGAATACTAGAGAAGACCATAGAGAACCAACCCCCAAACAGTCTCTCCTGAAACGACCCATGGCGCGTTTGATTATGCCTTGCTGTTCCTGCCTCTCAATCTAGTAAATGGACCTGAACGGGGTTGGAGTCTTCAGTCGTGCATAATACCCACAGCAGCATACTTGTACAGCTCAGAGTACTACTAGTACTGTACTCCGGAGTATGTACAGAGTACACACTGACAGACGGGATGTACCTTAATCATCCTCAACCGAGTTAATTACCACCAAAATACCTGCCAAAAATGACTCTGCTTCCCGCATAGTCCGTCGATAGTATCGTCCATCATGATTGCTCTCAGACCACTTCTTCCCCCTCAAAGTCTAGATTTAACGCTCGAGTCCTCGTCGCGGGGCACTCGGTGCTACGTGCGTGCGGAAACTATGCCAGTCTACTGACTACTACTACAAGTAAAGTACTGGTACCTCCGTACGGAGTACCGAGTATCGTGTGATATTCTTTTCTTTGTTCTATACACGGAGTATTTTTATATACACTATCGCACTATCAGATGGTCGGGGTTGACTTGCTCTCGCTATGGTTGTAGAGCGGTATTAATCCCTGTTAGTCTCCGTCCAGTTCAAGGATTCCCCTGCTTAGCTGCCCTGCGATCTTCTATATATATAAAGGGCTCTGGTATGTGGTATTATTATTATCATGCAGACAATGGTATTCTTTTGTAGATCTAAAAACCTGACCCTGGAAATTTCCTTTTTTTTTTTTTTTTTGGCAGTAAATCGGTTCGAATCGTAGTCGGAGCTGAGCTTCTACAGAGAAATGCCCCTGACTTAGTCTAGCATTATCAGTGCAGCTGCAGTCGCACAAGATAAGTAATACCGTCGCGGAAGCTTCCCATCCTGTCCGCTGTATGTACCAACGCCCTGCCAATCCTGTCGTGTATCCTGTCACCGCAGGTTCCTGGAATTTGTCCTTTCCTTGTATGTACTATCTCTACGCCCGTCGTCGCGTCAAGAGATTGCCCGTTGTCAGGAATCCCTTGTCTCCCATAGCGCCTCGCCATTCAATCGATAGTTGTCCTAATGTCGCTCGACCATCCCGCTTCATGTCCTTTTGCAGATTATCCAGTCCATCCTGTTGTCCTTCTTCCTGCTCAACCAGAAATGCGACCTGCAGCACGTCCCGCGGGTTCAACGTTGGCGGCGGACATGTCGATTCGTCGGGTCGCTCGTAGTCCCAGTTCAACGAAGTCGCCTTAAATGGTGGCTTAGGATTTAATCGTGTTTGCTATAGAAAACCTCCGTTTAGCAAGCTTTTTTTTTTTTTTTTTTTTTTTTGCCCGAAAGCTCGTAACTCACCTTCAACACCACTGCACTATCCCCCACATTCTCCAACTGCGCTTCAAGCGCATACCTCAACAGTCTAGCCCTCCCATAAGGCCCTAACGATTTATTCTCCACCTCCACCGACGGTAACTCAGACGCCTTAGTCCTCACACTGAGACACGGCTGGGCCACAAACTGGTATAGTTTCCGAAACGTCCGCACCCGCCCGCTAGACGCCTGGTAGTCCGTTCCCATCAACGTCTCCGTGTAACTAACACTAACCGCCAAGATATGGTTCCCCTCCTCCTTCAGATCGAACCGGACGATCTTCTGTAGCGATTGCGCTTTGTCTAGACCATCTGCTGAGGCGGTCTCTTCATCGGCGGATTCGAGCTCTAGCGAGGCTACTTGCGATGGGGTTTGCATTTCGGCAACGATTCGGACGGAGGTGATTACACGCGATGTTTCATCTTCGGGGAGTTCGTTGTTTGCGCTTAGCGTGCAGGCGAAGGTTTCGCCGACGTAAGCGGATCCAAAGGTTGGCGGTAGAGTGAGCTATCCCTCATTAGCCAGTCGTCATAGAGAGATACAGTAAACGACAAACATTAGGACTGAGGATGAATTGATCATCAGCATTCTCAGAGGAATAACTCAACGACGCCTTGGTCGAGATCTTCGTATTGGCAACAGGAAGCGGATACTGGTATGATAACGATGGCCGCGATAGCCTTTATAAGTCAGAAGAGTCGGCTGCGAAACATAAGGGCACCGGGCTTACCGCAATACTGGAATGGACCTTGATCAGCTAAACCCCTGGTACTATCTCCGAGATTGCGTACCTTTGAGAGAGACCGAATGGGGCTCTTTGGGGCCTTCAGCACTCGATTGTGCGCGCGGACGGGCCATGGTTTTTTTTTGTGTTTAGTTCTCTTTAGCAATCTTATTATAGTTGTGGACAAGATCTCAAACGAGTTGGTGAAACGGAGTGGAATCTATCCTCGTCATCATCAGTTATCTCCAATTTCTGAGACAAACAGAGCAAACAAAGCAAACGCGACAAACCTCCACAATGCCCTGATTGTGCCGCGTCGCATCATCCACAGTTGAGCTTACAGAGTACAGGACGAAGTATTACTATATGCAGAGCGGCATTGGATAGACCTGACTTCTCATGGTATGATACGTCTACATATGTCCGACTAATTTGGTGATTACAGTGAATATATATTATGTCATCATCTTAGGCACCTGTTTGTTGCACAAACGCCACCGCGACTCTACAAACAAGGACCCCTCTATCGCGGATATTCTTACACTGATATCCTTGCCTTTATTCTATGCGCAATTCGACACTAAAGACGCCCATCAAAATGCCCACCAGAAGCGGAGCACCGTACCTTGAGCATCCGCAACCCCTCATGCCATCCTCCAATGAGTTCCTCGAGGCGCAAGCCGACGCGAACACCCAGAGTACATCCTCGACGAAAAGAAAGCGAGCCGCACCCAGCGAGAATGAAGCACCAGTAGCACTCGTCAAGGCTCCACGGAAGAAAGCGAATACTACCAAGCGCGCGCCAGCCGAAGTTGTTGATCTGAAAGACGACGCGCTCGAGTCCAAGCCTGAACCTGAGGCCAAGAAACCAAGGACCAGAAAGCCAGAGCAGGAGAAACGGCTTAGGGTGTTCCGCAAGCATGTGCCGCAGACGTATTTGGAGAAATTGGCGCGGGCAACGTCTCAGAGGTTTGGTTTGGTTTTCTAACAAGAGTGTCCAAAGTTTGCTAACACGCGTGTTTTGCTCTATAGAATGTTCGCTGTAAGTTCCTCGATCAATTGGACGGACGGGTATCCTATCATGGAATTTGGAATGGCCGGGACCACTGGCAACCTTTACACTGTAATTATAAGGAAGGTGCCGAGTTGCAGCTGCCCGGATAATCAAAAAGGAAACCAATGCAAGCATATTTGCTACGGTACGTTCACTCTTCTTCCTATCATCCTCATTAATATCGTCATATCCATTCTTATGATATTTTTACTAACATAATGGCCTATAAAGTCCTAAACAAAGCCCTCAAAGCCCCGGCACACCTCCAATACCAACTCGCATTTTTATCAACGGTAACCCCTCCACGCAAAAGCCAGATGCAAGACACCTGACTAATCGCGATCCCTCCTGCAGGAACTCATCGAAATCTACAATGGATCCTCCCTCAGCCGCGAAACCAAGCCCGAAGAAAACACCGCCGGCAAGCGCAAGCCCATCGAGGGCGACTGTCCCGTCTGCTTCATGGAGTTTGAACCCGACAAGGAAGGTATCGTCTGGTGTCGAGGGTCGTGCGGGAATAACATTCATAAAGTCTGTTTTGATAAATGGGCTGCTACGCAGCGGGAGCATGGGGTTCGTTGTGTTTACTGGTGGGTCTTCTTTCATCTTCTGCCTTGTCTTTGGCAAGCTAACTAATGTCCTATGTCTAGTCGCGCCCAATGGGAATTCGAAACCGAGAACCTCAACATGGACAAACTCAAGAAAACCGGACGAGTCAATGACGAAGGCTATGTCAATGTCGCAGACCAACTGGGTCTGTCTGGTGAACGTGGTACGAGGCCGTCCCTGTATTGTCCCTTTTCTTTCTGCGATTTCTTCTCTTTTATCCACGAACTATGTTTTATTCATGAACTATGCTAATTCCACTCCCATAGACTCTTCAACATACTATCAGTCTTGGGGTTACCGGGGATCGTACTATTATGGGCAGCGCAGGTATAGATACTAGGGCTTTGGGACTCGGTGTTGGGTGGATTATTCTAGATTGTGAATTGCTATATACCCATTTCGCTAGTTTCACTTTAATGCTTATTCTATTGAGTTTCAACAAGACGAACCATTCGATCAAGTAGAGTAAAAGGGCCCGATTGAGCTCCGGTGTGCATTCCAAAGGAAGTGATGGTGCGGCTTCACAGCATCGCAGGCCAACGTAGTTAAACCGTAGATTGACAGTCCTGCGTTGAGCCCTGGCCTGTCCATCACCCCGAGACGACGCGGGATGGGACGCGATCGCGTCCAGCAAAGCGTAACGGCCTTGATGTTGCTTCTGCTCTCTATTCATGAACCCTCTCGGGACGCAAAGATAAAACAATGAGAAATATGATACCCCAGCCTAACTCAATCATCCACTATCCTTCGCTACCCGTTTCCCTTGATGGACAACGGCGACACTAACACCCTCTTCACCGGTCATCCAAGACGGCATACGTTCTGCATCGACGATACCTAGTTCCGCGAGTTTGCGAATCCCAGATATGACATCGTTGCCGGCGAAAGTGAGTGATAGAGTTGGCTGGGAATCTTCAGAGGGTTCTTGGTTATCGCGGCCACTTGGGGAATCGAGTAATCGAACATCGAAACGATCCAGGGGTGCTGATGAGAGGGAGCCAGTGGTACCGAAGCGGGAATGGACGGCGAGTTTGCGCTTTTTGGGCGCATGGGTATCTGTATTCTTGGTATCTTCGTCTTCGGTTCGTCTGTTTTCTTTTTCGTCGCTGCGGTTCATATATTCCTCCGGTGTGACTGTGTTGGCTGGTCGAGGGTCCAAGGGGCTTCCTTCGACGACTGCATCGGCAAAAATGCTGAATGCGCCGTTTGCTGCGTTTGATCTACTCGGGCCTCGGAGGGAGAGTAGGGTTTGGAGACTCTTTGCTGAGAGGGATGTTGCTTTCAGGGTATACCGCTCCTGAGGACGAGAGAGGGCTTTGGGAATAGCGTCTCGGACAATGCGCTGTAGACTTCTGGTATCTGTTCCGACGGCGGTGGTCGCGGAGGTGCTGGTTTTGGAACTGGTTGATGAAATGGATGTGTATATATACGGACAGCTGTCTGGGAAGGCGATGTATATTACCCTCGATGAATCCATGAGTGATTCAGGTTGTTGGCGTGGATACTGGTAGGGCGAATTGGTGACTAGAATGCGCAAAAACGTAAGAGGTAGCGAAGCTGATCGCGCGAGGTGGTAATGCGCTTTCACGAGCGGCGCGATTAATTGCTGCAGGTTCTTCAGAAAAGTCGACGCATGCACACGCGGTAAACACGCTGATAGATCACTCGTTTGGTCATCCTCTACCCCGTCAAGACGAGCAAGTTCCAACGCCGTCCATCGCAAACTAGCCGGATGATCCTCCATATAACAAATATCCACCATCGCCAATTGCCGTAACGTAATCCCATGTCTCCAATCGCCCTCAAGCATACGATCAATCACCTCGCGTTTCCCACCCTTCCGGTCCTGCAGGTCTTGGTATGCATTGCGGACGTCGTCGATCGTCTGCTCGGCCGGGTACGGGCTGGTCTCTTCATCGTCCGGGTCCGTGTTTTCAATCTGGTCGCGCTCGAGATACGGCGGGAAGGAGTCCACGTTGTTATCGTCCAGCCATTGGAAGACGAGATCGAGGAGAGCTTGGCGGGAGAGTTTGTTGAATGATTTGGATACTGATGGGCTGGTTGAGGGGATGCGGAGGGTGCTGGGGAGGCTGGCTGTGGTGGGAGCGCGGATGGATTTTGGACGCGCCATTGTTCGATTAATCCAGAGTCGCGGGCTTATTGCATTTTTCAGGCTTGTTGTGATAATTGGGAACTGCGATTGCTCTGGCTATCTTGAAGTGTTACGCGACAAGCTCCTTTGGCAAAGCGCCTAACAATGTCGGTCACGTGGTGATAACAGACCGATAAGGTAGATCAAGATCACATGTTGAGGAGCAGCATCCATGGGGTAATCATATCAATGCTGATTTATAACGATTTCTCTTTATCTACAGGGATATCTATTTGATTTTGGCTAGCAGTTAGTACAGACCAGGGTGGGAGCATCAACCAGTGGCTCTCATCCTATGTTGTATTGCCAGCAAGCGAGCTACTCTGTACTCTGTACTCTGTACTCTTCCACAATTCTCTCTCTCTTCTACCACACTCACAGACATTTTCTTAACTCCCGAGTAAACTAGGGGTAAAACCGCGATATTCCGATCCGACCCTATTAGGGTTCGTGGTAAATGTGACGTCGAAGGATGGCAATTATTAATCACGGCATTTTTCCCGGTCAATAAGGCAACGCTAAAGGCATGAAACAGATTGACTAACTAACTAAAAGCAGTGGTGCAAGCCAGCCTAAAAATTGCTCAGCGGGTAATATTCCCTAATTGTTATACCTGTAAATAGTGTAAGTCATCTTCTCCGAGTCTCTAACCGTGACCATCGTAAAGTCCGGGTCAGCCTACCAGAACCGGCGACGAGAAAAAGTCAAAGCCAGGAATCGAATTCCGACTTCGGCGAGTTCAGAACCGGGCAGTTGAAGTCATGGTTGGAAAAGGACTACGAGTGGCAATACTTGTATCCCTAGGGAATGTAATGATGTTGGATAGAGTAATAGTGAAGACATCTATTCACTTCAATGTAGTCTCCGAGTAGAGTACAGAGCAGAGAGTATTGTATGAATATCTTCCTGTAGTTAACTAGTAACTAAGTTAGTTATAGTGAATTCTGACTCAGCGCCCCTCGCCTGAGCAAAGACCGGTCGAAGTCCCCACCGCCGCCGGACCACGAGAATTCCCGCTTTCTCTCTTTCGCCGCCCCGTTCTCTCGCTTTCTTCCTTCCCCTCTCCCCGACTACTATTACAACTACTCCATCGTCCCCATCGCCCATCGACTTTTCTTCCCCGGACGTTACTATTTCGACATTGTTTGATTGTGGTGGACAGACCGACACTCAAAGTGAGGAAAAAGAAACGAAAAAAAAGAAAGCACACGTGGTGGACCGCTCGACAATCGAGTTACTTCTCTACGGCAACCCACGCATTCGACCGTTTGTGAACGTCGTTATCCATCTCGAACCGTCGGGCCGTCAAACAAAAACCCATAACTTATCGAACCGTTTGGCACAGTCCGAAGTTTCGAGGCTATTCCTGCCTCAAAACGATCCACCATGTCCGAATTCAATGGCCGTCGCGCCCCCAACTTCTCCCAATACCTCGACGACTTGAATGCGATTCCATCGCCCTACGACCAAGCCGTGCAGCAGCAGCAAAAACAGGACTCGTTCAACCTCGACGCTGAACTGTCGCTCTTCACCAACGCCGAGTTCTTTGATTTCGATCAGTTCAACCTGCCTACATTCGACTCGGTGGACAATGACAAGTTGAAGGACAACTCGAACAATGTGGAGCAGAACCCGGATCTGAAGTTCTTGGATTTCCTCAATGGTGAGTTATAATGTGGTTTTACTGCACCAGCTGGCTGGCATACATTGGCATGGGTGTCGAGACACCTTTCCTCTTTTCCCTATTCTTTTCTTACTTTGATACCCTTTGTTCCTTTGCCCATCTCTTCGATGAGCGATTGCTTTGCACCGATTCTTGATTTCCTTGCTTTTTTCTCTATTCATTTCTCCGCACCGGTCTTCGCAATTTTTTTTTTTTTTTTTTGCTTTTCTCAAATTGTTCATATGGCATTGTACGCACACCATCACACCATCCTCTCGCACGGACGCCTTGCTTGATTATTTCCCTGCAGGAGCTATGGCTAGTGTGTCCGGCAGAAAAAGAAATGAAAAAAGGGACGGGGCTTGCGATTGTGCCGTTTTAATTGGCCCTAAAAAAAGGCGTCAGCGGGAACTCGTGTTGCGCCATTTCACGTGACCTCTGCCTGTGTCGCCATGTTACACGTGGATTGCTCGCAACTCGTATATCATCCATTGTCCATTCTCCTTTGCATCATGTTTTTGCTTGCCTTGCCAGCCAGATTGTGTTCTGGATATGTGATTTGATTCTAACTGTGGTGTGCAGATGGTTTGAACAACATGAGCAATGATTTCTCATCCACGAACTTTAACAACAACAATGCCGGCACCAACAACTCTGCCGGCCAATCTCTGTCCACACAGAATGCTCCGTTCACAAATGTTCCATCGGTCTCGAACGGGCTTTCTAACCTGAACACGGCTGAGTTCTCCAACCAGTCGTCCCCGATCTCCCCATCTCAGCCATCTGCTCCGGCTCAAGCATCCACGCCGGCTCCGACTCCCAGGTTGTCTGCCTCTACTGCCACCAAGCGTAAGCCGAGCCACAAGCCAACTCCGATGAGCATTGAAGAAGCCTCGCGGAATGTTGCCGAGGAGGACAAGCGTCGTCGTAACACCGCCGCCAGTGCTCGTTTCCGTGTGAAGAAGAAGATGCGCGAGCAAACCTTGGAGAAGACAGTAAAGGACACCACAGACAAGAACACCGCCCTCGAGGCCCGGGTGACAGCATTGGAGCTGGAGAACCAATGGCTGAAGAACCTGATCACAGAAAAGAACGGCAGGACTCCTGACGAGGGCAAGACTTCGCAGAACGACATTGCAAGTATGTTCAAGAAGTTCTTAGCCGCTCAGAAGAATCTATCAGAGAGTAGAGAGGTCGGGACAACAAGTCCGTGAAGATAAAAGAAAAAGAATTAGGGTTGTCATTTCATTTCGTTCATTTTTACTCGTTAATAGTCTATTTGGTGTTTCTTATTCTGTTTTCTATTTTCTTTTGTGTATATTGGTTGGGTTATTTGATATTCCTTATGAGGCTGGAGTCTGACGGAGCGGAGCAAGGGGGAGAGGCCTTTTCCTTTTGATGATTGATGATTCCCATGTTAAGTTAAGAGCTACAAAGTAAATACTCATGGCTATGAGCGTTTAATACAGTGAACATAAAAAGCATACATTTGTCCTCTGAACTTGAACCACCTCGGGCTCACTATGAAAAAGTACAACAGGCTCAGCTAAAGCTGAAATCCGAATGACAATAATACAAACAAACTTGGGATATCACACATTGCCCACCTCGATCAACCTATGAAATATACAAGTAGAACGCCAGTTGCCAACGCCATGAAACAATTCAAATCAAACAGCCGGTTAATCATAGAATCCTCCGAACGTAAAGTCATGAAACAATGGTAAACGAAGAAAAAATAAAAATGAAAAAGGTCGAAGACATTCTGATTCTCCTCATTGGAAGAAGAATATGCGTAACATCGTTAAACCTTTCTCGCATGTGTATCAACAAGGTGTCATGCATATCATACAGATATCAAGTCGATATCTGAGTCTTGGTCTCGATCTTCTCATCAGACTCTTTCTTTTCAACGCCCTTCTCATCATCACTCTCGTCCCCGGCGACTTCGTCCTCGTTGATTTCGCCCCATCCCGAGCTGCGACGACTGATTCGCCCGGTGGCCATGGGCTGGTTGATTGATGCACTCGTAATACCGGAGATACTCGCGGCATTGCTCTCGTTCCGACCATGGTGGGAATACGCCGCGCTGCGGATACTCGCGCCGTCGCCCTGCTTGGTCGTGTAGAGGCTTCCTCGTTCATTGGTGTTGCTTAAGACTCCGGAAGAGTAGATGCTCACACGGTCTGCGCTAGCGAGGCCGACCATGCTCGGACGGTTGAGGACACTCGAAGATGCATTGAATGCGGAGGTGTTAGAGGGTTCGTTGACTTGACTACTGAGAACGCTCAATGGTAGACTCTCGCGGCTTCCACCATATACAGAGGACGGGGCCAGGGCGCGCACGGACGCATTGGTGTCGAGAGAGTTTCGACGGCGGCGCTTCGAAGAAGATGCCAGTGTCAGGATCGAGGCGTTGTCGGTCAGCATACCATTCGCCGTTGCTGTGTGATAGGTATTGTGGTAGCCGTGGTGGGGAGCCAAGTGCGGCGGCACTGCGCTCGCGGGGGACGATGGGAACTGGTGTGTGAATTGCACTTGTTGGTTGTTGTTGTTGTTGTTGTTGTTGTTGTTCTGCGGCGAGTTCACATATGGGATTCCTTGGTAGACATTCTGCGCGTTGTACAGGTGGGCTGATGGCGCAGCGGATTGTACAGTCGTCAAGGTCGTGGTCAATGATCGCACTGAGGGCGCTGGCGACGAGAACGTGCTTCCTTCGCCTCCTCCACTCGAACTGATACCTCCTCCCGCCGTCGCTAATGTCCCCGCTTTCGAGTACGATGTATCACCATTGGTAGAGATGGTCGGGGCGGTCGATTTGGCGCTAGTAGCCGGAATCTGGTTCTCATAGCCGGAACACGCTAGGGAAGGTTCGCTGTGCGAGCGGGATCGATGGCCGTTCACATCACTAACAGACGCTCCGGGCGAATCATCATTTGTATCGCTATTGTAGTCTCGTAGTCCGTCTGTTGTACCGGAGAGCGGGTAGGGGTTATTCTGGCGGCTGCGACTGCTGCTCTTCTTGCCCTTGGGCACTGTGTGGAGTTTATTGGACCAGCGGATTGAGTTTGATTCGGATGAGGAGTTTTTCAAATTTGCGAGGCGCTTCATCCAGCTGGAGAAGGGGCGACGAAGGCCATGGCGGTCTTATCATATGACAAGAAAAGTTAGCCCAGGTATTATCCTTGTTAGAGAGGGAGGATGAGCAACACACCATGTGCCCTGGCAGGGACCTCCGCGGTGGCCATTTTGGCCTTGAGGAGAAACTGAGAATTCGAGATAACTGGACGGATCGAATAGCAAAAAATAAAAATCAATGGGAATGAGGATGGGATAAGATAATTCAAGAAGGGAAGCGGTTGGCCACAATCAGATAAGGATCAGAACGCGCGGAAGGCGTTGCGTCTAGGAGCAACAGTGGCGATGCGACAGGGAGCAGGAACTGCACACAAAATGGCTGGATAACGATTCACAAAGATGTTCTATGTCTTTTATCCCTGATTGACTTGCTTGGGGTGAGATTGTGAGAGCCCGATGTAATTTGGCGCTTGTCAGGAGTCAACAGCTATGCACGTGATATTGACCTTCGGCCCAAGACGACTTCACTTGTATTTGTTCTGCCATACACTTTGTCTACTCGATAGTTTTATACTTATTCTCTGCCATTGATGGGGAATTCCCAGGAGCTCCTCTGTCCGGTTCACAATAATGCTCCATTCTCCGGCAATATCCAATACACACTGACTCGTATAAGCCCGCGGGAGCCCCTCGTTGTCGCCACACAGCCCGAACTCTCAAACGAACCGAGACACAGCCTAAAATCCATGAGACGATCGCGCACCATCTTTCCGCTCCTGGGATCTTCATTCTGTTACATCATTGGTGGTTTCGGTAAGACAGTGCGTCGCCGGTCCGGTCACTGCCCGGGGAGTGCCGTACAGTACGGAGCAGTATTCTCCATGTCAATGGCCACGGAGGACTCTGGGCATACGGAGGAGATTTCTCAGTGCTTCACTCTGTGAGTAGGCTCCGCCCCACGCCGCTAGAGCAGGGAATTGGCATTCCTGGAATCATGGCAACCGAGCGGAGACTCAATAATGGACGCGACATACGGTACCCTAGGTAGGGTAGTCGTCCGCCCTCCGTAGTATGACTCGGGTTTCTGGTTTCTCAGTGCCTCACTTATTCGTGAGACTACCCCGGGAAGTGCCCGTAGTTTCTCTGCCCCTCGTCGCAACTGTAGCGTTGTAGCTCAATGCGGGGCAGTAATGGTAACAAGGTGAATTGACTGCCAACAAGGTTGTTACAGTCGTCAATTCAGGCGTTACCAGACCGTCATGCTATCATCTTCGAGAGACCGTCCACTTTGAAGAACTGTGAATGTGGAGTAGTTTGTATATGGCTTATCGCCACGTGATGCGCTTATCGCGGCTCTTCCTTCCTCCATCGTCATTCAGCGCCTTCGCATGGAAGCCGCAGTCGAGCTCGCAGACTTCCATTTGCGTTCAAAAACGGCTCGGTGACAATTTCCCGGTTACTTCTCTTTTGGAAGGAAAGATGCTCGGTTCTTTCCTCTGTTATCACCAGCGCATGCCATGATGCAGTGGCAATATTTACTTCAGAGGACAGCTTAAGAGCCACCATGTGAAATACGAACATCATCTCGATCCCATTGTCAGTATGTCAACCCGGGATGCCAATATCAAACCACTTCCACCGGATGTTGTGGCCAAGATCAAATCTTCCACGTCGATCACCAACCTGAACGACGTTATCGTGGAGCTGGTCAAGAACGCGCTGGATGCAACTGCGCATAGCATCATAGTGACAGTTGACTTCCAGCGTGGTGGCTGTGTGGTGGAAGATGATGGTGAGGGGATTCCTCCGGCCGAGTTTGAGGTCGGTGGAGGACTGGGGAAGGCGCATCGTACGTATTTTGGCCCTGGTATTGGCGCAACTTCTGGGCGGTCTGGCTGATTTTCCGAACAGATACCTCCAAGTTTCAGTCGGATCGAGAGGCCCATGGCCGAAGAGGGCTGTTTCTAGCCTCCCTGGCGTCTCTATCGTTGCTCACTATTATATCCCGTCACCTGCGCCATCGGAGCACGAACAGCGTCATATTCCATCATTCAACACCAATCGCGCGCTTGATTCCGGCACCGGTACAGCAGGATCTGAGTTTCAGCGGCCATGGAACCTGTGTTACGGTCAATGACCTCTTCGGGAACATGCCCGTCCGCGTGAAGAGTCGGGCATTAGCTCACCAAAAGCCTGACGAATTAGACAGAGAATGGGAGGATCTCAAGCAAATGCTAGTTGCGTTAATGCTAGCCAACGACCAGCTAGCGAAATTGGTTATCTCAGATGGCAGCAAAGGCAAGAAGATAACTATTCGTCCCCAGAACCAGGGTCAGCGGGCAGGCGAACTGGATCTTCAGCGGATTTCGACGATTCTCGCCCAGGCAGGTCTAATCAACTTCCAGAACCCTAACGTTTGCTGGAATGTGGTTTCAGCCTGCGTTCCGGATTTCTCAATCCATGCCGCCATATGTCTTGTCCCCAGTCCTACCAAGAGAGTGCAGTTCATTTCGTTGGGAATGGCTCCTGTTTTCCCACGAAATAGTGCGAACATGTTATATAGCGATCTCAACCAGCTCTTCGCTTCGTCAGACTTCGGTACCACGGGGACTACCTCTGCTTCCGTTCAAAATTCGCTCGAGGATGGCCATATGAACGCCAAAGTATTACCAAAAACTGTCAACAAATGGCCAATGTTCTATGTGCGGATTAATACCAATACTCCCGAAAGATGGTATGAGGACGGTCAAGAAATTGCTCCAGAGTCAGACAAGTCCGTTCAACGCATTCTGGACGTGCTTGCGGCTATGGTTAACGAGTTTCTGGCGCAGCTCAACCTACGACCGCGTGCCGGAAAGAGAAAACGGAAAGTGCCCCAGGTGTCACCAGAAGCAGATCAAGAGGACTCGAAAAGCACAAGACAATCCAGGGATACCAGGCAAGATCGTGCCACGGTTTCAGACAGCACGGAAGAAGCTTTTAATGGTCGATTGAAACTTCCATCATTCAAGAGACCTGTGCCTCCTACAACCAGCCAGCACTTTGGTGATTGGACTAGGGTTAAGGGTGCCAAAGATGTTATATTCGACACGAAGCTCAATGCTACGAAGTCTGTTGATATTCCGTCAAAAGTTCGCAGTCCCGCTGAAAGCCAGCAGCCCGTGCATTCGTCCGGGAATGAAAAAGAGCCAACAACAGATACGGCAATGCCCTGGACTGATCCGTATACAGAGCGAACACACATGATCAACTCACGGACTGGTCAATCGATGGATTCCTTTAATGCGTGCGAGAGGCCACGCTCGACTGGCTACATTCAACCGAATCAGGTATTGGACCGAGTAAGACGACCAAAATCAGCCATTCCCACCGGGCCCGGGAGTTCGTGGATAGACGGTGTCTTGAAAAAATGGGAGAATCCGACCTTTAGCCGATCTGAGCGACCTATCAACTCCATTAATTTTGGAACAGCGCACGAGCACGAAGCGGACCAGACGACCTTTAATGCGCACGACTGCTGTGGCGATCTTTGCGGGTTGAACACAGTCAAATTCTCCAAGTTCCGGGGGAAGTTATGGAAGCAACACCTCCAAGGGGCCGAGGTAGTTGCGCAAGTTGACCAAAAGTTCATCCTTGCGAAATTACCAACATCGTCAGTTGGCGGTACTCAGGATGGAACTGCATTGGCATTAATCGATCAACACGCGGCGGATGAACGATGTCGAGTAGAACGACTTTTTGGGGAGCTTTTTACTTCAGAGTCGGGCGATTTTGGAGGAGTGCAGACCATTCCAGTGGAACCGATCATGTTTGAGGCTCCAATAAGTGAGAAACCGCTGCTCAAGCGGTATCGGAAACACTTTCGATCTTGGGGTGTCGACTACCGAATTGAACAAGCCGCAAGCAGGCTACATGTTTTTGTACATCTACTCCCGGCCTTGATAGCAGAACGATGCCGGACGGAGCCCAGTTTGGTTACCGATCTCATCCGCGGCGAGATTTGGAAGTGCGAAGAGAGCGGAAGCAAACCCAGTTCTACAACCGCACACTTGGATTTGAATTCTGGCAGCACTACATCTTGGGTAGAACGGTTAACAGGTTGTCCCCAAGGGATCGTTGACTTCCTTAATTCCCGCGCCTGTCGAACCGCCATTATGTTCAACGACGTCTTGAGTATTCCTGAATGCCAGCAGTTGGTTGCGCAACTGGCACAGTGCGCGTTTCCGTTTCAGTGCGCGCATGGTCGACCGTCAATGGTCCCTATTTTAGATATGGAATTTCAGGATTCATCGTTATTGGTTAGCGAATCGTTGGATTCACTTGCATTGGGATTGGAAGATGGCGATGGAACAAATAGGGTTGGATTTGTCGAGGCGTTTGGAATGGCATATAAAACAGAGAATATAGACTAAGTAGATAATGCGCTGTATATATATGAATGTCCCCCCCCCGTTTACATGACAAGACTTACAGACCTTATCGCATTAGTCTCAGCCTGAGCACCCCGAGCATTGTAGTTGACAGGTATAGATATATCGCAGCCACACTGCCGATCACAAGCGAAATAGATTGAGATGGCCATGGGTGGCATTTATGGTATTCAGGGACCAAACTTCACTAATGAAGGAATCCGTAGTCCTTATTTTGGTGTGTATCCCTAACAAAACCCCAGACAATCCAGTTTCGAATCTCCCTGAACCTTGCTCTCCAGTCTGTTGTCACCTTGTCTTCTTCGGTAGGTGTATGTGTATCCGTCTCCAAGTCCATATTGTCTAAGCTGACAACTTTCGTTCCAACCTGTCGGCCTCGACAGGACCAGAGCTGTCAACATCAGGAGATGAGGGTACATCTTGGAAACTCAGACGGGACAACTTTGTCAACTGCGTAGATTGCAATCTAATTCCCATGGTTCTTTGCTCCACAGGAAGCAGTGTCTGCATATTTGACGAGATACTTTTGAACTATCCCGAGGTGCGATGATGTTTTGCAAGTTAGAACAGCAGTCATGGCCTAACAATGATTTTCATTAAACAGTATAGCTACCAAGAAAAAAAACTCACTGAAACTGATGGATATACGAGGTCGGCGTAGTTGCTTCCCGCCGAGTTCTCGTTATTGATTTTATAATGGCATGCTCGATATGAATACGCATCTCTACACCCAACATTGCTCCCGAGGGAATAGTCAAGGAAAGGTCTAGAGCATTGGCAGTCAGTAGGCTGTATCTAGCTGCTGTGCTCGAGATAGGTAGATAGATCTTACTCGGGCATCGTGAAATTGTAACGTAGAAATGGCAGGAATGGATTGCGTGATCGTGGTACATATTGTACAGCTTCAGATGATTGAAGTTGATCATGGGATATTTTTGCATCAACCAGCTGAGTTGCGCTGTATTTCTGAGGTCACATGTTACTCTCCCAGTAATGGCAAGTCATATTAGATGGTAGAAGGGTTTTGTATATCCCAGTTTACTTTCTTTATTGGTCATTGGAATTGCGATATTTAAACCCAAATGGCGAATTCAACAGTTCGGCAGTAGTGCTCATCGCCGAAACTCTGATGCCGAATAGAATTGTAAATATAAATCATGGCGAGTCGCAGGTACAACTCCTTGAAAATATCATATGCTCCGAAGAGGCCCTGATTCTTTGAATATGGCCGCCACCACCGCTGGACCAGTCGGTCAGCCCGACATCGCCTACACTCCCCGGTACGAAAACTACAAGGCTCGAACAACGCATCGTATACAGACAGAAAAGCTTGTGCAATCGTTGCCTGAGGGGTTCCCGGCCAAGCTGGACTCCGATCTTGTGTGGGACGGAAATAATTTGGCTGAGTCTTATGACTGGAATTATCACCTGACGCCAGCGGACCTTGCTGAGATTGATGAAGCCTTGAAGCACTTCAAGTGTAAGATAACATCAAATTTTGGATTTTGAGAGATTTGATGCTAACTATGGGCCCTGTTGCAGCGTTGGGAAAGCCACTTGGCGAGATCAGTCAAGAGACCTTTCCCCTACCAAACCTTCATGCGACGTTGCGAGAAATTTCAAGAGAGATCCACAATGGCCATGGCTTCAAGGTTGTTCGCGGAATACCCGTGGGTCAGTATACAAGAGAGGAGAATATCACTATCTATGTTGGTGTCTCATCTCACGTTGCACCCATTCGGGGTCGGCAGGGCAAAACCTGGCAAGGCAAGCCAGCCGATGTCATTGTTGCCCATATCAAAGATCTGAGCTCCACTGTTGATGCAAAGGATATTGGCGCCCCAGTCTATACAGCAGAGAAGCAGGTTTTTCATACAGACTCGGGTGATGTTATTGGACTCTTTGCATTGAGTGAATCTGAAGAGGGGGGTGAGAGTTATCTAGCCAGTGCTGGGAAGGTTTATAATGAGCTTGCAGCATCTAGACCCGATCTTATACATACTCTTAGTGATGATTGGGCTTTCGACGAGTAAGTCAAAGTAACTTTCATCTTGGAGGTCAGACTGATATAAGAGAAAAAAAAAAAACAGCTTCAGCAAAGATGGAGATGCGTATCTCTCACGCCCTCTCCTCTATCACCAACCGGCAAAAGACGACAGCCCGGAGCGACTGATCGTCCAATATGCACGTCGCAACTTTACAGGCTACTGGGGATATCCCCGCTCAGCTAACATCCCACCGATTACTGAGGCCCAGGCCGAAGCATTGGATGCGTTGCATTTTACGTCGGAGAAATACGCTGTCGCTCTTGATTTCCATAAAGGCGACATCCAATATGCAAACAACCTGAGCATTTTCCATGCCCGGGGGGGTTTCCGCGACAGTAAAGAGAAACAGTGAGTTTCCAGAGCCATTCAATATTGACTTGTTATCTGACCCTTTGTATGTCAGGCGTCACCTTATCCGGCTTTGGCTTCGCGACCCTGAGTTCGAGTGGGAGAAACATGAGGCCTTGAAGGAACGGTTTGGCCGTGTGTATGCGGATTTGAAGACCGAAAGCTCGGTGTTCCCGTTTGAGGCTACCATCAGAGGTGCAAATGTGGGTACCTGAAGTATAAAGACAGCTGTTAGCCACCTCAGACAGTCTAGTGGTGTTCCGAGATACTACCGGAGCATCGTCTCAGTAGATAGACTACATCAATTGACCAACTACGTACCTGTTTGTTTCCTTTTCTTTCCTTTCGTCTCTTTCCCTTTTAGTCCTATTCTCGCTATATCGATCTGCCGGTATTGACCCGTCAGGGCTTGCCCGTATTCAACAGTTCTATAAAACAGTAGAATCATCCAACTTTGACCCCTTGGTTAATGAACGCAACAACACCATATTCCAAATCCACCGCCATTAAGTCTACAGGTCCCCATACAAGTACTTGCACAGTTACTCCAAGGTACGGCTATCCACGCCCCAGCTGTTATCTGTCATATGCACCCACCCACCCATTATCCACTATCCACACACCCGGTCCTCCATCCTTCATAGCGAACATGTCATACATACCGTACCCCATATACTCTATGCATTAGATGCATTGCTTGCATGTGAGATGCCATGCATTTCCCTCGTATACAGCATCGTACCGTACAATACAAGCCACACATCCATTCGTAGTGTGGAGGATCGGTTAACCCAACCCGGATGGTGATGGATGCTCGTACCGAGTACCAGTCTCTTGGGAGGCCCAAACGTCTATTTCTATTTCTGTTTATGGTGGAGTGCATGTACATACTTGTATGCATGGAGTATCATATTGACAGGTCTTGTACGTATTGTCTACGAGTGCACGCCATTGTGTCAGTACTCTGCGTACATTGGGGTGGCGGCTGGGTCTGCCTTGTCTACAGGGTATGTCAGATACTTGTTCCTCTACTCACAATGGAAAGAGTTCGCTTAGAGCTATACATTGATACTAACTTTGATATTCTACTATTAAATCCATACCAGTAAATACCATACCATACATACCATACCATACATACCGATACAAATCCATCCAAGTCGACACTACCAGAACATATGGAATCAAGAGATCAAGGAAAGTAGAGAATGAATGTGTATTTGCCTTTTCCCAAACCAATCCATTCCGGAGCCGCGAAGCTCAGATGTACCATCTAACATCCTTTTGTGTACCCTTTTTAGATACCCTAGATACCCATTGTAGGGAGAAAAAAAAAGAAAAGAAAAAAGAAAACCATGTACTCCAATCCAGGCGAATGAAAACCGAACGCAGAGATAAAGTAGAACAAAAGAAGACAAGCGCCGCCCAAAGTATTATATCCACAGATGCACCGAAGAAGGAAACAGAACAACGAATAGTAGACAAACAGGTATATCGAGAACAAGAAAACAAGGTCATAAATCATTAAAGAGTGAAAAGAGTCATGAAATTAACCATGTGTGGCAACGGACTTGGATTTGGATTGGGTCCAGGAAAGAAAATCGAATTTGTCCTTGGCGTTTTCCAAGATTGAAGGTGTAGGTGTAGAATCGGTGTGTGCGTTGTTGCGCGGAGGCACCTCGCGTGGTTCCAGGACCAAGGACCTACGGTAGAAGGTCTGGAGACTCTTCTCGCCGCTCGATCGCACCCGGACAAGCTCGTTCTGCATCCAAGCCTGGAGCTCGGGAACCTCGCTCAGGCGGTACGGGATCTGGAAGCGTTGCAGTTCGCTGATGATACGAGCCGTCTTCATGTGCTTGTCAAAGTTGATCACGGCCATCTCGCCATCGTCAGTCGGCAGATGCCTCAAGGGCTGGTTACCGTGGTCCACAAAGGTAAGGTCGGTCAGGTACGTGCCCACGAAAGGCAAGCACGGCGGGACGTGATTCTGGATCCGATTGCGCAGGACCGAGTAGTTGCGCGACACATCCACAATCCCCCGTAGGTATTCCAGAGTCGACTTGGTCTTCTGCGAAATGATCTCCCAGGTGCGCTTGAGTCGAACGATCATAGACGAGTTCAAGGAGCAAATAATCGCCATCAGGGAGTCGTAGTTGTTTAACTCCAGGCTCTTGTTGGCAATCTTGATCCAGTGCTTGATGACGACGGCCCGCTTCTTCGGCTCTTCAAGTTGCAAAATCGAATCCGAGACCAGGTGTGCCAGATCAGTCGACAGTGTGGACATGGCCCGCACATTCACAGCCAGAGAACCCGACTTCTTCATCCACTCCGTGTCCAGAAGTTCCTCTGGGAGAATCGAGCAGAAGATCCGGGACTCCTTGATGGTCAGCTGCCGGGCGAGCTCCATGGGATCAAAGTCCAGGATGCTCAGGCTGGCTTCGCCATTCTTCCACTGCTTCAGCAAGTTGTGTTCCTTCTTGCCCAGAATCGGAGGCGGGAGAGGAGTGTCTGGGTGTATGTATTGCGCCGTAGCCGTGTTGGTCTTGCCCCTGGAAGACACCAGTCGCGGCACGACAGGCCCGTGTA